GAATTGTATATGAAAGCGAAAAACTGTATACTGACTTGAGAAGGGATAATCACTAGTTCACTAGTGCTCTTGAAGGATTCTTGAACGATATACTATTGTAGTAACTTAGACTGTCCGCCATAATAATTTTTGTATAGGTTTTAAGTCTGTTGTAGGAAACAAAGGAAATTGGGAGTTTATTATAGACAGTTATATGTTAGTTAATAATCTAGGCGTAATAATGGCATATATATATTGTATTATTAGTATACCGGTTCTTTTGCAAATACAGCCACGGTTGCAAAACTATAAATGAGGAGGAGATTGCAAAATGAATCTCAAGGATAGACAGAGAGGTATAGGGATGTGAGAGGAATTAACAACTACATCCTGTGCAATGTGGCTATGTTTGAACCTAGTATTTAAGACTAAACTGAAGCAGCAGGATTCAGTAGTGTCTGGAAACACCCTTTGAGGCCCCTTCCGTTATATAAATTGTAAGAGAATACAAGTGTATATTTCAACAGCCCTTGACAACCTTTTGAGATAAGTTTCAGAATATCCCAAATAGTCGTTTAGAAGGGCAGTGTGCTAGGGTGGATTTTTCTATAAATATAATAGTTTCTCCCTCGAACTCACAGAAGCAAAAGAATAGAATAAAAAAAAATATAATTGGCTTGTTGAAAATTAGACTATTAAAGCATAATAAGGTTCCATAATTGAATTGGCTACCTGATTTGTTAACGAATCTATCAAAAAAAAAAACATAAGAAATGGATACTTTCTTTATTAGCGATCTTCAGATCAGAGAGTGCTCTCCAAGAGAATCTGATCTACAAGACAAAAGACATAGACTTGATGTGTTGAAACAAACCGGAACAGTTGAGGAATTCAACCACCAATTTGAAAGTATAGTAGGAAAATTACCTGCCGGTTTTTACTCAGAGGAAACAAAGGTTGATATATATGTTCGGAAGTTGCAATATCATGTAAGAAGCGAAGTACAATACAGGTACCCTGAAGATATTGAGGAAGCACAAAATTTAGCTCTAGCATTCGAGAATAAGTACTATGAACCACAAGACCCCACGACTAATAATACTAAAAAGCAACTGGGCAACAAATCCCGAAACGATGGTACCGGAAACTCGCAAAAAGCTCGACATCAAAATAAAGTTCCAAGGCAAACTCTAAACAACAAAAAGACTATCAAGAGATGCTTCTATTGTGGTGAAACAGACCACTTGATAGCCAGATGTCATTATAAATAAATAAATATATATATAAGTTGAACTTGAAATAGGGTTCACTTGTTAATTTAGTTGACCTGAATAAGAATATATCTCATCTGTCAAATATATCAAATATATAGAAGCGTCTTTATGGCTTCTGACACATAAAGTACTAGGTATTACAGCTACATAGTTTGTGCGATTGTCTAACCACAATTGTCTTACCTCTCCAGGATGTATATTTCATGTTCTAATACGTAGAACAATTCGCAGCCACGTACTTTATTCGTTTTTTATGGCGTTCAAGAATATAGATTTATTGATTGTCATTCTTTATATTTGAAAGGTGTCATCCACGTAGACTGGTCATGTCTCATGTGTAATGCTGTCATCAATATGCCTTACTATTGTCTGAATTATAGTCCGTTGTTGTTCATATACCATTACACATTACAGTATGGTGGCAAGTTACACAAAAAAAGTGTTGATAATCTCTATACTACACGCGTCTGTTTAAAAGCGCTACATACATTAGAAACACTTATATATTATAGAAAACTAATAGTAAAATGTCAGATTTCGGAGGAAATTATAACAATTACGGTGATGGTGGGTTCAACACAGATATCGGAAATGGTGGATTTCAAAACGATAATAATGGATCGCAGAAGCAGCAGTTGCGTTCTAGTTTAACACCAGTAACCATCAAACAAATTACCGAAGCTACGCAACCAATACCAGATGGGGAATTTCAAGTTCATAATGTAAACTTGAATTTAGTTTCATTTGTGGGAGTTGTCAGAAACGTGCAAGATATAACCTCTGCCATTCTTATTACTATAGAAGACGGAACAGGGTCCATTGAAGTACGTAAGTGGATAGATGATTCCAACGCCATGGACGAGAATGAACATCAGAAATACGAAATGAACAAATACATTTATGTTACAGGTGCTTTGAAGGAATTCAACGGAAAGAAAAACTTACAACATGCCACCATGAGACCGATTACTGACCATAATGAAATTTTATACCACCATTTGAGTGCTATTTCACATCATTTGAAGGCTCAAGGTTTGTCTGCCAGAGAAAATGGTGGCCAAAACCAATCCCAAGATAACGGGCTTTTTGTTAAGGATCCGCATGGTATGGAGGTTACCACCTCAATCCAAGACAAGATTTTAGGGGTTATTCGTGATAACACCAGTAGTATGCAAGAAGGTGTTCCTGTTCCTTTCATTTCTCAAAAATTGAACGTGACAGATGACCTTGTATTAGAACATTGTTCTGAATTAATTGATAATGGTAAGATTTATTCTGGATATGATGATAGTGCTTATTTGGCTGTTTGAACGATAATGCCGGTTTACTTTAAGTGTAAGCAGATGATGGTCTGTTTACTCTTGTTTAAGAAATGATAATGTAAAATAATTCATATAATTAAATATATACAACTATAACTTATTCCATGTGTACAATTTTGATTAATTCTTTATCTCCTTTAATCCATTGATCCCGGCATTATTGGCCCTTGCACAGAAAAATGCATTCCATAAGTCCCCATTGGTGACAGACTCTCCTTCCCCGTTACCTTTGTTGACTAATGTATCTATTCCACCACTCTTCATCAACGTCATCGATTCTGCCTTACTTAAATTTCTTTCCTTGGTTTTCGATATTGATTTCAATGTACCATCTTGTTGTGCCGATGGCGTAGTTTCTGTTTCAAAATACTGTAATCTTTTATTAGTGGACATTAGCACAATACTCTCTTCTACCGTATTCTCAATTGCAAACATCCACACTGTGGTAAGTTTAGTTTGGCCAATTCTATGGATTCTCGAGATCGCTTGTAACTCTAGGGAAGTGTTAACCAATGGCTCACACAAGAATATATGCGTTGCGTTCACTAATGTCAATCCACTCGCTTGTGCCTTCGCATTTAACAAGAAGCAAGTGATTTCGTTCTGCGGGTCCTTAAATTCTTCCACGCTATCATACTTATTACGGCGACGACCTGCTCCTACTTCTGGAGTTAACGTTCCATGCGACCCTAAGAATGAAATATTTGCAGACTTAAATGCCGTTCCAAGTATATATAAGAGATCCTGCCATTGACTGAAAATAACAATTTGAACCGTCGGATCTTTGCTTCTCAAGTATAATACTTGTTTCACAATCATATCAACCTTAGAACTGTATGAGTTTTTTAATGGCATATGCTGAATATCATCAATTATCACATCATCAATAGGTTGATAAATAGAATGTAAATTATCATCAACTTTATGATTCCCTGTAGTATCCACAGCATTTGCTTTCAAATTTGGCTTATGATGGGTAAAATTGTATACCGTTGATATATTTATCGCATGCTTGCACATTGGACAAGTTTTTTGATTCCTTAACCATAGTTCTAAACATTCTTTACAATATTTATGACCACACTGGGTTAAAGAGCCAATTGTAATTGTTGATCTGCAAATAATACACATAAGTTCTTCTTCATCATCATTGGAGTGGGGTTTCTCTATAATATCATCCTTTTTTATCAACGTTTGCAAATATCTGAACTTTGAAATAGCTTTACCCATCGATGAATTTACTTCGATATATTCCTGTAATTGTCTCTCTTGTTCTTTTAAAACAATCTCATAAGTCAAATTTTCTTGCAGGAAATCATACTCTCTAGGCTGAACACTATCTGAAATTTGCTGCAACTGCTTGAAATATTCGATACGACTATTGAAAACAGAGTTACAACTCAAATTTAGTTCCTTTTGGAGTAAGATTTGTGCAAGTTTTTGGTTAGCAAATATAGTTCGTACCCTTTCACTTATTTTCTTGAACAAATCATATTCAATTTGCTTCGAACCTTCATCTAAGAATTCCTCATCTTTTAATTCACTTTCGATGTCTTTGATATCGAATACGAGTTCCTGTAAAGAACTCTTTCCTGTTGGTTTAACATTTCCCCTTATTTCCTCAAGTTGATTTAAGAATATTGTGCTGTTAATTCTGTTGGCCTCTGAATGTGTGTCACTAGGAACTTGATTTACTTTCAAAATGTTCATCTTGGTGGAGTTTTCATCACCTACAATAAATTCATTACGATCTACCAATATCTCCGAAATTACATTCAAGTAACATGATGCTTTATCTTGATCTTCAATAGAGCCCTCATACTCTTCACCGTCTGGTGTCTTATCGTGACTCAATAACGGTTTACATAAAATTCTGATCAATTCACTCATCCAATTATTAATAACTTCACATTGAACATTCAACTGAGTCGCCAATCTCTCAAATTTCTCGAAGTAAAACTTCGACTTCATACCCACAATATAACTTTTTAACGAATCAACCTGAATGGTTGGTAATACATTGAAAAACTTCTTGGACGTCTTTGGCAATAAAGTTAGACCAGTATCAACAAACTTTTCGCCATTCTTATTGTACCATACTCTAGAAGTAATTTTAGAATCGACAGCTTTGCCTACTGCCTCAATTGATCCTTTTAGTATATCTTGCCTAGTTTGTTCCGCAAGATCATAATATTTCAGCTCCAAGAACTTATGTTTCGCCGAATGTAGTTCATTCTCTTGTAAACCTACTGTCGAAAATCCTTCAAGCTCGTTAAATTTTCCTATATCAAACACTTCTATTGGAATTCCACTTATAAGAGTAGATATCTCCTTTGTATTTTTATTCTCTTTTCCAAGAATATTCAAAGCGTCTGACGGGGGAAAGTTACTGAGCTTCAATGTATTGATCTTTTCTCTATATTCCTCATCATAACATTGGAAATTACAAGACGCAATTAAGAAATAAAATTTATGCAAAGTTACCTTAGCCAATCTGATCTTGAGTCTTGTCATTCGAATTTTATCTTGGAATTTATTCAATGCATCTCGGATGCCATCCATAGAGGATGCATAGCTATCATTTATATCAATATCATCATTCTCTCCCTCGATATCTTCATCTATATTAACTGGTTTTAAGTTATAGCGCACTCTATAATCTCCATATTCCTTAATATAATTTTCAAGCATCAATTTTAATCGGTATAGGATATGCTTTATTCCAAGTAAGCCTACTTTTAAGAATTCTAATGACTTCTCTGGTAATAAAATATACTCCTGAAATTGTGCAGCGTCGATATATATCTGAATAGTCAGATTTTCAGCACTACTAATTTGATCGGATGCTTTTATTAACATATCATCAAGCACATTTTCCAACGTTTTTAATTGCAGAGCAGTAGTTACTACCCTACTATTATAATTCTTAGATTTATACTTTTTTGAATTAAGATTCAATTTACCTATTTGAGGATTGCAGCATACTTGACGTAGCCTAACTAGCCAATACCTCATATAAGTCAATACAGTTGATGATGGTTCCCAGTCGCTTAGTACAGGATTCCCATTGCTATCTAGACATATGGCTGCCAAACATTCTTCAAACATCTGATTATAATTTTCTTGTTCAACAGGGGTAAATGGAATCGTCATCAAAACTCTACTTTGAGGTGGTAATCTAATATCATCATGGACCATTGCTTTAGTATGTCTTAAACTTATTTGACTCCATAATTTAATGAAGTCACGATTAGTGTACCTTCCATTCACTGTCGTTAATGTGGCCCAACTGTTTTTGGACAAAGGTCCAGAGAAGGGCTGAAATTTTAAGAACCTTAAAATTGAATGCAAATCATTGAAGTCTTTCTTAATTGGAGTACCAGAGACACCCCATGCGTGGAACCTGGGAATTAATGCTGCACTTTGAAAAGCTCTTGAAAGCCTTGACGAAACCATCTGAACTTCATCTAAAACCACTCTCCAGAAATGCGTTAACATCAATGGTGACTGATACTCGTGGGTATTATATATATCTGTAATTTTATTATGTTTTATGGCTAAATGTATTTCATCTTGTAATGCCTTTTCATAGTCCGTTTCGTGTTGGTTTTCAGATGATTTTTCATTAGCTATCTTTGGTTTTTGTGATTGTAATGATAACTGAAACATTGCTTTATAATCTCTAAGTAATGCTTCGTTGTCTATGTTGTCTGCCGCTTCCTTCCTTGGCTCGTTGTCTTCGAATGTATTATCACTTCCAGTATCACCATTATCAAAATACGAAGCTTTCCGTTTGGAAGAGTTTCGAGTTGGTTTATTTCTAGATGAATATAAAGCATAGTCTAATTCTTTCGAAATTGTGGAATATGTTGTAAAGACGATGTCAAATCGCCTTAAATATTCTGCAATCAAACCAGCATTATTTTCTAGTTTCGGATATTTATCAATCCCATTGTATATTGTCACAGCCAAAGATGGGGCTAAATGAACAATTTCTTCGTTCCACTGTTTTAAAATAGAGTCGGGCGCAATAATCAAGGTGGTCTTTGCTTTTATTACTGTCTTTAGATCTCCAAAAGATTGGAGTTGAATTTGTATAGGTTCATTCACTGCATCTATTGGTCTTGGGTTCATCAAAACCAAAGTCGTAATTTCTACTGTCTTTCCCAATCCCATTTCCTCTGCTAATAACCCTTGAGCCGGTAACACACCCTCGGATTTTTTACCATTTAATTCTTTGTGATAGTCTAAAATGAACTGATATGTTTGGTGCCTAGAGCTCAAATTGCAAGTGTATTTGTTGAACCAAAATACTCTATTCTTATTAGTTATTCTGTTCCACCCAAAACATAATTTGTTTAAGACAACACCGACTTTATTATCTACTTCTTCAAAATCTATCTTTCGGTTACTAAAATACTGAGATAGCATGTTAATTAGATCTATATCTATGACATAATCCTTCACACATCTATTTGTATTCCAATCATACTTCATCCCTTCCTTTTGTATTAACCAATTTACGGTTTTTCTTTGGAACCTTAGTAAATTTGTATCTAATTCTGGAATATCAAACGATTTTTCTATCAGTGGAATTCTTGCCGTGTTTTCAGAAATTGATTTATAGAATAGTTGAGGTGTTGAGGGCTCATGTAGATTATCATCATCAGTCGTATAGGATAAGTCATTCAAAGTAGGCAACGAAGATGAAGACAATAAAATTAATTCTGAGACCTTATTAGTTATATCCACAGGAAAGCGCCCACTTATATCACCCTTCAAATATATACTGTAGAACAAACTAACGTTTATTTTATTTGTATTGGCATTAAAAATTAATTTAATACCTGGGCCAAAAAATTGTAAACTATCTGAATTTATTTTTGATGATGGAAGATTAAGAATAGCTACTTCGTCCCTTAAAATTTCTAAAGCACTTGATGTATCATCCTTTGAATTATTCTGTATATTTATAGATAATAATAATTTGGACTTGAGTTTAGCTACGTTCTTGTTTTTAACACCAAGTAAGTGTTCATCCGTCTCAAAGTTCAATTTTATATCATCGGTTCTAAATTCATAAACATTTGATTCGAGTATCCTAAACCCTGTAGAATCATGTGGCAACACACTCAAATCTATGGGGGAGTCACACTCAAATTTTATAATTCTATTAGTTATGTCTATCCATTCAGATTCATCCTGGAGGTTTAATTGGGAATTTTCATAATCTGTCTGATTTGAACTTCCGTTCTGTATTTCACAGATACCTATATCTCTATGGAGGGTCCTTCTCCTTTTTTTGTGTCTATTTAGTTCTTTGGACTGATAATCTTGTGATTTGTGATTAGCAAATGTGATTAATGATTCGGGATCGAAATGAATAATCAGTGATTCACCATAACCTGAATATAACCCCGATGGCTCCGAAATCAAATCAGATGCCTTTTCCATGGTCATATAAACCAACTATTTAATGTATAGGACAATTATTCTATTTTGAAATAATGGCAAAATATGGGTACTAGAAAGACGTTCGTAAAAGCTCATTATCTGCGACTGCATGTTTACACTTTCGACTTTACACTACGAGAAATACTAGTTGAATAATGATAAGAACTGAATTGTTTATTGACGAACTTGAATATAACTTAGTTACACCTTCAAATATATATCATGATACATTATATACAATAAGCAAAGCTAAATTAACTTAAGCAAACTCAAAAAAATTTTACGAGTACAGAAATTAGATCTAATTCTTATGCTATATCTGTGCTTAGCTATATTTAAATAAATAGCCACAATGAACCAAAAAAAATTATTAGCACCAACAGAGCTAAAACATGAAAATTTCCACTCAGTGACATCTTATTTCACTGACACTGGTTTATTCTTTCTTCTTTCTAATATAGAAGCACCACCTAAATTCAAGTCGAACGGACTGGCTTGTTGTTTAACGTGACGCCTATGCTGCTGTTGTTGGGTGTATCTTGGAGCACGTCTATTATAATTATCCTCATTCAATACGTGTCCGCTCGTATCAACAGACTCATCTTCATTCTCCTCTATCAAATCATCAATGTCCGGGATAGCAGTACCCTTTGATAATGCAGCTTCCTCGCCCATTCTATGGACTGCAGTGGATATATCGAATGCATCTCTCAAAGCAACAGCCGCAGGTGTATAAATCTCATCATTACCATAAGTAGGGCCTTTGTTGTTCTTGGCTTGGATTGGATGATTATAATTATAACTACTGGTATTTTGAATCTTTCTTGAGGAAGTTATAGCAGGATCAACAACTGGCATCTTCAAGATCCATGGATCATTCAAGAAGTCATCTATACTATATCTCCTCAGAGGGTCAACAGTTAATAACCTTGAAACACAGTGCTTCGCCTCCTTAGATATCTCGTCCCACCAGGGACTCAAAAATGTGTATTCACCCTTAGCAACCTTTTCAGTTAAAGTTTCGATTCTCTCATCATAGAATGGTGGAAATCCACATAATAAGGTATACAATACACAACCAATAGCCCACATATCAACTTCTCTAGAGTACCTCTCGTCTCTTACAATTTCAGGCGCAGTATAACCAACAGTACCACAAGGAGTTTTTGTATTGTGTTCCCATATTTGCTTCGACAACCCGAAATCTGCAATTTTAACGACACCGATACCCCCACCTCCAATACCTGGAACAAAGTCACCCTCATCACGTTTGGAGTTTGGATCATCAGATTTTCTTAATTTTGCAATAGGGTTAATCGAAGGTCTAAATTCAATAGGCATGTATAACAAATTCTCCGGTTTTATATCTCTATGGACTATTCCAACTTCCTCATGCAAATATCTAATGGCGTGAGCTACTTGTACTATGACATGGCGAGCCAAATCTTCTGAAAAGTATGTATAGTTCACAATGGCAGTGAAAATTTCACCTCCTACTGCCAACTCTTGAACAATATAATAGTAATCCGATGAGTCAATAAATTCAATGAAGCTTACAATATTAGGATGGTTTAATTGACGCATTATAGTTACCTCCTTCAAAACTGCTTGTTTCTGGGCCTGATCCATTTGAAACTTCCTCAATATCTTGATTGCGACAAATTTATCTGAGGCTACATGTCTTGCCTTATACACAATAGAAAATGCACCTTCTCCCATTTGCTCTAAGACCTCGTAATTTTGCAAATTAGGATACTCAGTCTTGTTCTTTTTTTGTCTCCTTTCCTGCTCAACAATGTGTGTAGCTGCTTCATAGTTGTTGTTGTTGTTTTTGGCCCTAGCGCTTCCGCTACCATCAGACTTTCCGTCCCGTATGTCCTGCGTCTCATCCACGCCGCTCGTTTTAGATACCTTGTATTTTTCAGTCTCAACGCTATGTTTGGGATTCATTACATCGTCATCTAGGTCCATATTTGTAGCTGGTGAATCATGTCTCATATTGTCATCAAACAACATTTCCCGATATTCGTCTTTCGAAGTCTCAAGACTAGGATCGCTGATGCTTGGATAATGACCTTTAAACTCGTTAGCATTCTTTCCATGCCTAATAAATGCTTTTAAGTTTTCAAACATAATTAACTCCTATTATCGCCGATATTCCCTTTCTGTAATTTTTTTGATATCTATCTATGCCACCAGTTTTTCGATATTTTTTCAATCTAAACAATATGCAATCTAGTAATGATACGACTTAAACTATCTAGTCGTTTCTTTCTATCCTTGAATACAGTTTGGCAAGAGTAGTGAAGTACAACAGTCGATAATATTCCATAGACTCATCGCAGCGCTTATAGACAACGACATTTTGGTTTGCTATCGACGGGATTCCTGAGTATGTCGCCAAATCGAGACAATGTCGCGATATGAAAAAACGTTGGGCCTAGAGCGAATTCTTAGCGTAATCCCACGTTATCGAGATTTAACTCACTTGTTTACTCCTCCAATTAGACGCTTGAAAAGGGTATTGACTACATATTCAAGACCATATACAACGCTGGACGTATATATCGAGAAATTAGATATCAAGTAAAGAATGAGTGGACCACCAGCTATTGTATTTACCGATTGGGACGGAACTGTGACTCTCCAGGATTCCAATGATTATTTAACCGAAAACCTTGGATTCGGTAAACCAAGAAGACTTGAAATCAACGACGAAATATTGAATGAGAGAGTTTCTTTCCAAGAGGGTTTCACCGAGATGTTGAAATCTATTCCAACTCCATTTCCAGAATGCATTGAGTATTTGCTCAAACACATCCAATTGGACCCGGGGTTCAAAGATTTTTACCACTGGTGCTTCGAAAGAAATATTCCGGTCATTGTTATCAGTTCTGGTATGAAGCCAATTATCCATGCCTTGTTAAAAAACTTGGTTGGTGACGAAGCTATCAAAAACATTGAAATTATCAGTAACGAGGTGGATGTTAAAGCGGATGGCAGCTGGAACATTGTCTACAAAGATCCAGAGACCTCTTTTGGCCATGATAAGTCTAAGTCTATTAGAGAGTACTTAGAACGTAATGGTTACTCGAGTCAGAACGTGCCATTATTGTTCTATTGTGGTGATGGTGTTAGTGATTTGTCTGCGGCAAAGGAGACTAACTTGTTGTTTGCTAAACATGGTAAGGACTTAATCACTTACTGTAATAGAGAAAACATCCCATATACCGAATTCAACAGCTTTGAAGATATATTGAGTAAAGTCACTAAGATTGTTGAAGCCAAAGGTAAAAATATCAATGAGTTTTTAGAAAACCATTAAATAGACTAATGTATTTATTAGAGCTTTTTATTAGATGTAGAATATCTTGATGATTAATAGTCTAGTTTAGGCTGAACCTCTCAATAATTTAACATGTTGTGTCATTATGCAAGTATGAAGTGACATTTTTGGTGTCTCAGCCCGATGCGGAATTTGATATGGCTATGTCAGAGGTAACTATCATTTTGTAAAACTTTTAAAGGCATACCACTTGGTGAATAGCTCTGTTAATAATAGAGATAATACTCCGGTCCAAGATACCATGCTGTCTTCACTCCGTACAAGAAATCGACATTTACCACGAACCAATACTAATACATCGAATAATTCAGCCAGTACCAACCAACAATCCAAGAGGGCTCGGATATGGTACAAAATGAAGGCATCTATGGTGAAGTACTCCAGCTTTATTGGTCCTGGTTTAATGGTCTCAGTTGCTTACATGGATCCTGGTAACTATGCTACGGGAATTACAGCAGGTGCATCTAACAGATATTCACTACTATTTATTGTCTTTCTTTCAAACATCATTGCCATTTTTTTACAAAGCTTGTGTGTTAAGTTGGGGTCTGTAACTGGTTATGATTTGGCTAGGTGCTGTCGTGAGTATTTACCCCGTAAACTTAACATCGTTCTATGGATTTTAGCTGAATGTGCCATTATTGCAACCGATGTAGCAGAGGTTATCGGATCTGCTATTGCATTGAATATACTTTTAAAGATTCCATTGCCAGCCGGTGTTGCAATTACTATAGTTGATGTCTTATTTGTGCTTATGGCCTACAGAAATGATACCTCTTCAACTAAATTCGTAAAATTTTTTGAATATGCTGTGGCATTATTGGTGGTAGCAGTGGTAGTATGTTTTGCAGTTGAGTTGTCTCAAATACCTGGTGACATAGATACAGTCAGAGCTATATTTAGAGGATACTTACCATCGCTGGAAATGTTTAGAGGTAGTGGGATGACAATAGCTACATCAATTATTGGGTCTACCGTAATGATTCATTCGTTATTCTTAGGTTCTGGCATTGTTCAGCCAAGATTAAGGGAATACGATGTTCAAAATGGGTATGTTATGTTAGATGAATTAATTGATGCCGAAGATGAAGTCATTTTAAACGAAAAATCCGAATCAAAACAGCGTCGCTTCATAGAAGATAAAGAGGCAGCGTACTTTTATAACTCTTACAAACCATCATATCAAGCCATAGAATATTCTTTCAAATACTCAATCATTGAATTGGTAGTGACCCTCTTTACCTTTGCCTTATTTGTAAATCTGGCCATCTTAATCATAGCTGGTTCTACTTTATATGATACACCCGAAGCTATGGATGCTGATTTATATGCTATTCACAATCTACTTTCGACAAATTTGGCACCCGTTGTTGGAACTGTCTTTATGTTAGCTTTGCTTTTCAGTGGACAGAGTGCTGGGATCGTTTGCACAATTGCAGGCCAAATTGTTAGTGAGGGACATATAAATTGGACTGTCAAACCTTGGTTAAGAAGATTAATCACCAGAGGAATTGCAATAGTTCCATGTATGATCATATCTCTTTGCATTGGTAAAAATGGTCTTGACGAAGCTTTGAATATTTCTCAGGTGGTTATTTCTATTTTGCTTCCTCCGTTGACTGCTCCGTTGATATACTTTACCTGTAAGAAATCAATCATGAAAATAGAAATACCTGCAGATCTTCAACTGCATGGATCATCTGAAGTCGAAGTCGAAGTACAAGAGACGCAGGAAACAATTGATACTACAGACAGTGAACAAGATATAAAATATAAATATATGAATAATAATTGGTTAACTACAATATTGGTAGTACTTATATGGTTGTTTGTTTCGGTTTTAAATATCTATGCTATCGTTGACATGGCTAGAAACGGAGTTGCAGGTAGTTAAGGTCCTCTATAGTTTGCATTGCTTTAACGTGTACGCACCAAAATTAAATATCAGATTCCGTAAGACGCAAAATATGGTCTATGGTTTAATCAGAGTATTTAGCATTAGATTTGTTATAAAGTACATCTAGTTTTAATCAATCCAATTGAATTAGTTTGAACAGCTTCCTTAACTGTGACTATTTTTCGTATCAATTCGTGTTGGAAATCCAAAAATTCAAAACAGTGAGGATTCAGTTTCGCTATCCCTTATCAACGGAAGAAAGAGTATAAGTGAGATAATTTTTAATCAACGGATCTCAAATAAGTTCAATTGATTAAACCAATCTAACAGGTAACACAGAATACAAGTTAAGAGTAGCTTGTATATTTGGGTAAGTAATTGTTGTTAGTTAATTCGATTTTCCTAACATACAGTTTCATTTTGGCCGAAAAAATTAATAAGCCCATTTTATAATTCATTTCATGCCATCTTCAAATATATTGAGAAAGCTCCATATTGGCAAAAGCAGTAGCAACCTCAAAACTAGTACTACGTCAGAAATAACAGTTAATTCGCTTGATAATATCGAATCAATGGATCAATACAACCAGTACCAATCTCCGCAATCCCAACAGCAGCAGCTTAACCCATTACCGGGTCAAGTGCAGGGCTTCAACCTGGATCAAGCACATCCTCAACAAAATTTAGCTACCGAACAACATTTATCTGCTGAACAACAACGTGTGGATGATGCTATCAAGCGTTCTTTGTTACCCGAAAGATCGACCGTTTCTAAGGGTAAATATTCATTAGCTGATTTTAGAATATTGAGAACTTTAGGAACTGGTTCTTTCGGTAGAGTTCATTTGGTACGTTCCGCTCACAATGGTCGTTATTATGCCATAAAGGTGTTAAAGAAACATCAAGTAGTCAAAATGAAGCAAGTTGAACACACAAATGATGAGAGAAGAATGTTGAAATTAGTCGAGCACCCATTCTTAATCAGAATGTGGGGTACCTTCCAAGATTCGAGGAATTTATTCATGGTAATGGATTACATTGAAGGTGGTGAATTATTCAGTTTATTAAGAAAGTCACAGAGATTCCCAAACCCTGTAGCAAAATTTTATGCTGCAGAAGTCACCTTAGCTATTGAATATTTACACAGTCATGATATCATCTACCGTGATTTAAAACCTGAAAATATTCTTTTAGATAGAAACGGGCATATTAAAATTACTGATTTCGGTTTCGCAAAGGAGGTCAGTACAGTTACTTGGACGTTATGTGGTACACCTGATTATATTGCTCCTGAAGTTATTACTACTAAGCCATATAATAAGTCGGTCGATTGGTGGTCTTTAGGTGTTCTTATTTTTGAAATGTTAGCTGGTTATACTCCATTTTACGATTCAACTCCAATGAAAACATATGAAAAGATTTTGTCTGGTACGATTCATTTTCCAAGCTTTATGGGACCTGATGTTATTGACTTATTATCCAAATTGATCACTGCTGATTTAACCAGAAGATTAGGAAATTTAATGAATGGACCATCAGACATTAGAAATCATCCGTGGTTCCTGGAAGTTGTATGGGAAAAATTATTAGCTAAGGATATCGAAACACCATATGAACCACCTATCACTGCGGGAGTTGGTGATTCTTCGTTGTTCGATCATTACCCAGAAGAAAAATTAGATTACGGTTCAGTTGGTGAGGATCCTTATGCTCAATATTTCCTTGAGTTCTAACTTTTCTTAGTTGGTATAGATGTCCTTGTACCAACGATTCGATTTACCTTTATATTCTTTGTTCAAACTATCAAGTCGTCTTTATTTCTTGATTATTTACCTTTAATGCAGTTACGTGTATTTTTTTTCCATGTTAAGTACCTTGACTATATATATGTATGTACTAAGTTACTTATCGATATATTACAAATTTCTAGAATTAAACTCCTCCTAACCACGCAGGAGAACGCTTATATATATTCTATAGTACATGGTCTGAGTGAATCAATAATCCATCTCCAACGACAACGCCGTTTCTTGCTCTTTCTCTTATGAGTGAAACCTTCAATTTACGCCCTAAACACCTTCTTACATTCCAAACAAACATAAAACAAAATCATCGATGTATCTTTCCTTCTTTGTTGAGATTGGAAAAAAACACAATCCTTATTACCGCAATCTGGACATTCCTTAGAAGATCTAGGTAAAGTAGGATCACTACCAATATCTTGCACAACACCCGCCGTTTCCCCAATGTTGGTTATCAATTCATGTCTGTATACTTTAGGATTCTCGGCCAACTCAGTATAGTCACAATTACGGCACGAATATAAAAGTCTAGCATTATCCTTATCCTCTTTTGGATACAACATATTATTGCACTCGGCACAAAATCTGAATGAAGCCATGGTCTTCCGATTACCGTATTCTCCTCCGTATTCCCAGTATACTTCAGCTAATCTCTTATTATCATTAGTGTTGATCGAGTAATTAACAGATGCTTACCTAATGAAAAAGGTCGTGTGAATTTTACCAATTAATTTTCCAGCTTCCACTCAAAATTTTTCAAAAGGTAACAAACAGTTCGAATAAAGCCCAAGTAAAAGGTATTCAATAGGAGTATTATTAATATATATCATGTCTTTATTACGTCACAGTGTCAGACCAACCTTGAGATTGGTTTCCAAGAGAGTTTCTCCAATGGCCATTCGTTTCAACTCGAGTGCACCAGCTGAAGAGAAGAAAGCAGTTGATCCAAAAATCTCAACTATCGTTGACCAAATTTCTACTTTGACTTTGTTAGAAACTTCAGCTTTGGTTAGTGAATTGAAGGAAAGATTAAATATCCCAGATATTTCATTCCCAGCTGCTGGTGGTGCACCTGCTGCTGCACCTGCTGCTCCAGTAGAGGAAGAAGTTAAAGAAGAAGTTGAAGAAAAGACCATTTTCTCCATTAAGTTAGAATCCTTTGATGCTAAGTCTAAGCCAAAGGTCATTAAGGAAGTCAAGGGCTTATTAGGATTATCATTGGTCGAATCGAAGAAATTCGTCGAAGCAGCACCAAAGGTGTTGAAGGATAATGTTGCCAAGGAGGATGCTGAAAAGATTAAGGCTGCTTTGGAAGGTTTAGGTGCCAAGGTTACATTAGAGTAAGCTTGTTACTAATATGCTCCCAAATCATCACATTCTACTTCTCAATAATCTTACATCATTATTACCGAATTCTTATTTTATTGACCATAAGTTATATAAATCCTGTATATATACATTAATTTCATATTGTTATTAAGACGGCAAGTCTCTATGCTAGTTGTAGTCCTTTTGACTGTTGTGTTATGAGAAAATATGATTCGTATCGTATGCAGCTTGGTTTCTTGCTGGAAACTGACTGAAAGGTCCGTTCACTTCATGAGCTATCAGCAGTTTTTGGCCTCCGTAAAGACTTATATTGTTCATTCTACTATTAAATACATCATGGTTGTATGGCGCCTGGGACTTTCTGGTCATGTCTCCAACTTGATTCCGTTTAATTGATCCATGTTCAACACGCCCTTTAGGGTGCTGTAAAGTTGATCTTGTAGGTGTTATGAATGAAGATATTGGCTGAGAGGAGCCATCGAGTTGTAATACTCCTGGTGGCCTAATCCCACTATTAGTACCCAAAGATTCTCTGTAGGGTTCTCTATATCGGTCTACCGAATCATTAGTGAATCTATCATCAACATGACTAACTTCTTCGTCATCAAATTCGCTATCTTCATCATCACTCTCCTTTGGTCGATTATTCTCATAATGATCATTGTTATATATCTTGTTAATATCAAGGGTGTTAGTTCGTTCTATCAACTCATCTTCGTAATTTACTCCTGTAGATCTGCTTGATATTGAAGGTGACAAATTGGTGATTCTATCTTGAAAAATCCCGTACTTTGTTTCGTCTACTGTATCACCGATTATACTGTAAACAAGGTTCTCGAGGCTTTCAACCAAAATAGTTAATTTATGGTATGCATAATTCGGCATTTCCACATCAGAGTATTGTATTGATAAGGATTGAACTAAGCTTTGAACTGATGATAACATATTACTCATTTGTGCCTTTTGAAAGGGGCTTAACTTTGAAGAACCTTCAACACTTTCTTCTAATACTAATAAGTTTTTCAACAATTTCTTAATATTTTGTCTTTCTTGTGCCTGATGTAAACTTTGTCTGCTATTTTTTGAATATACTATATCTGATGAATTCTTCAGCAAAAGTCCTTTTGATTGAACCGTGTTTAATGGACGATTATCCGTATATCCCTTCGATAGCCTTTCATAAGCTTGAGTTCTGTATCGATCCATCTATTAGCTTAAATTGATCTTAAATTATATACTTTAACAGAGAGCTTTTATGTCACAGATATAAACGAGCCAAAAAAAAAATAAAAATATTTATACAACAATATTTGATTTAATGGTAATATAACTTCAAATTTAAAGTACATACTGATAAGTGTCTTGCATAGCTAGTTACAATTCTGCTTGATCTACAAGCATTAATTATGGTTTAATAAGGTTTGCGTATGACTGTTTCAATTCATCTACAGCATTCATTGAGTGACCTAGATCTCGATTCACAACGATTCACAAATAAGGATGATATAAAACCTTGGTTACAGAATTATTTATTGCATAAGAAGGGAATACATGTTGTAATTGCACGGTCTGATGCAAACAAGATTGTATTTAGGTGTAAATCAGGTAAAAATAAAGAATCAGCAGAGAAAGTCAGTATAGGTTCAAGGCGCCAAATAACATGCCCCTTCAAGATAAGAGCAAATTACTCTATAAGAAACCATGTATGGACTTTGGTTGTTATGAATGAAAACCATGACCATCAATTGGATAATTTTGGCTTAGTACACCAAAGTAAACTTGCATATTTGTTTAATCATAAAAATGATGAATCTGGAATTCTTTCGCTGGGGTCCGACGATACATCAGCAGCAGCATTGACAGGTACTTCGAAAAATGGTACGTCCTCAGATGTATTCAGCTCGTTTATTCGCTCGTCGGAAATGGCTTCGCCAAACGATGTACACAGCAACCATAATCTAGCCCTGTCAATTGAGTTGAAAGATACAGTCACGTCGAAAGACAATAGTGATAGTGAAAAAGTGGTTAATACATTTGAGGAACAGGAGAGTAAAAAAAGGAAAGTACCTAGGAGGCATATCACTAACAGGAAAAAATCTAAAAGTAATAATAATTCAATACATGATGAAAGCCATGAGTCAATTCAAGAAAAATCTAGCAAGGAGGTAGTTGATGATCTTAGTGAGCAAGTGAATACATTAATATCTAATTCAATTATCAATAACCAAGACTTCATTGATAAGGAAAAGTCCATGATGATAAAATCGTTTTTCTCACGCTTCATTAGTGACTATAAAACTATTATCAATACTGTGGCAAATCAACAAAAAATGGCACTAAATACTTGGTTCAGCACCCCAAATTCTGCTCAAACTCATCTAAATTCGCATCCAAACACTAATTTAATCCCGTTATCTCCCTTGCTAAATGATACAGATACAGAGTATACAAACGCTACACCAAATAATAGCAATAACCAATCTATTGACAACTTGACACATCTTCCCAATATGTCGTTAGGATCATCACTCATAACAAACGTAGGGGCTCCAGGCAACGCAGGCCCGTCAAGCTCCAATGCAAGCAATAATTTTAACAATTTTATTGTTCCCCCACAAATGCAGTTGCTGCAAATTCAGAACCAGAACCAACAATTGCCCTCTTTCAATACTATTCAAAATCAACTTCCACTTTCACCCAATTCGTTGGCTAATAATTCGACTGCTTCTTTGTTTATGAATAATTTTAATAGTGCAAATTTGAATTCAAGCACATCATCATTAATACCACCCATAAACAACACAAATACCAATACTACCTTAAACCCTTCCCATCTATTAAAATCTTCCAATAATAAAAATAATGCATTGAATAATCACATGAACCTGTCCACATCAAGCAACAGACTAAGTCGTAATAAAAATAAACAAAACAATTCATTAAACCTACTTGGTAATAGTATAACACTGACAATCACGGCAAATAACAATTCTCTAAATAATTCTACGGCTAATTATGGTGGTTTATCATCCCCAAATAATAATATCATTAATTCAAGTATCCAGAATAATTCGAACAACACAGCATTTTATAACAAGGAGCTATTATCTGGGAATCCAAGCAGCATTCCACAAAACTCTACAACATCAAATGCTTCTGGTACTCTTAATCATATTGCAAGTTTGAATGATAATGGATGGTAACTTGCATTTACAAAATGCGTGCGTAAATAATCTCTCAGTGGCCAAATATTGAAGATGCATTTTATAGTTCTATAGGCATACAATTTACAAATTATCACACAGTTATACAATGAATTCAAATAGTAGAGTATTCAATGCTCTTCCTGGTATAGTATTATCTGACTTAGCAGACTCTACATTAATAATTCCGTCTATTTCGATAGGGAATATTCCACAATTGGCAAATGATCTTTTGATTCATTCATTAAATTTCATAAAAATCGGGAGTCTTAACGATACTTATTTATACCCATTTGCATCCCCAATAGACACCCTGGCAGATATTGGACAAAAAAAAGGAATTTCTACTGCTGTAGAAGTTTATCACAATAAAGAATTGAAATTAACAATAATTCAACAAAGATCTCCAATTATTTCTGGCTGTACCAAGACATACGTAAATGAAGTTATTCTTCCGTTTATAAAGGAAACTAAGATGGTGAAATTTTTGATATTAGATTCATCAGATGCTGGTTTAGTAGAAAACTTGTCTCCGGGAACAATTGACTTCTATACAAACGAGGACTTATTGAATAAATCACTTGAGACGTTAAAGATAGGTCTGGGTGAAGCAATTCAATTAAGAAATGATGATTATAGTCACTCAAGCTACATACGTTCATTAATTATGTATTTACATTCTGGAGACCTGTCCGCAGATTTCGAAGTAAATGTTCTTGTCTCATATGTTTATGAAGGTGATAACTTTTTTGACGGAGAGCACTTAGCCAATAAGACCATTGAGGTATTGAATTTATCACCAATTGAAAATTGGATAAGACCAAGAAGTTGGTCAGGTGTCTATGGTGATAGGCAAGTGCCTAATGCAATGGAAGAAGGTTTATTTGGTTAATATAATGTATATAAATATTTACAGTCGCAATTAAAGTTCAAATTCTTTTATTTATAATTAATACTACAATCCTAAGTATTTTTCTCCGTTATTTTCTGTAAATATTCTTGCAATTCAGCATCTTGACCATTTTTATTTGAAGCATTGCCTGAATAAGACATAGGCAGTCCAGCTGCTTGGGTGAACATCTTCTCGTTAGAATTTCCTGCTAACCTTTTAAAGTCTTCAAAATTATTATTTTGATTATCACCGGTATTGTTGTTATTAATATAACCTAAATTTCTCATAAATTTGTCTAATCTTGCATCATTTCTTGCGAAATCAGTATCCAACATAAATAAATCCAATTCATCTCTAGGAGCTTGTATCGCATTAGACGTATACTTCGGTTGACTCTGTGTTTCAGATTTAACATGAACACCACCAGACAAAGGATTGAAAGGATTTGAATTACCAATATATGCATTACTTCGTAATTGTGAAGTGCTAAATGGCATGGCAGATTTTTCTAATAATGAATGGTCACTAGCAATACCTGAACCTTCATGTATTGTTTTTAAATTGGCATCCTTGGGTTCTGAGGTATCAATTATAGATAAATCTTTACTATCTGATGATGTCATTGTGGTAGGTGTATTTATAGATCCTGGTAATCCTTGAGTATTCGTAGACATCGGTGAAAAGCTGGAACTTCCAACTTGGTTGAAAATTTCCGAATATGGAGATTGTGCACTAGCAGGCATTCCAAATGGTTCACCCTGTACTTTTTGATTATGACCAGTAGAGTGACTCTTTTTTCTCGTACCCATAGTGTTTGAATCGCGAGACATGGATGGTAGTAGGTCATCAGTAATACCATTCATGATTTTATACAAATCCCACGATATTTTGCAAGGAATAGAGGTTAAGGCGGCATTCACCAATAGACTTCGAAATTGTTCAACATGATTATTTTTCAACGCTTCATTATTGTCATGATTTTTGCTATCGAAAATCATCATTTTGGAAAAGTTAAATCCCATTAAAATAAAATGGTCTATGAATGGATAGTACTTCAAGTTCTTGATTGTATTAACATTAACCAATTCACGTATTGACTTGACAGACTTCGTGTACTTTTGATCACGGAATTTTATAATCTTATCTTTAATAGTTTCGCCTCTTTCAGTAGTCTTGAGTGCACTTAATCTTATGGCTAAAATGCACCAAGTCAAGTTAAAACTTAAATGTAATAAAGCTACCATTGGGGGAATTTTTTCTGAGGATGGAAAATGCTCAGTTTTACAATAGTCGGGAAGTCCAGATAAGCATTCATCAAGCAGTTTGTCGAAATATGCCAAAGTATATTTATTCAAACCACCTTGCACCTCTACCTTGTTTGTAACTTTCTGCAGTTTATCATTATCGGCACTTTGATCATTAGCCAACGTATCTTCTGAAGTATCTACCGTGCATGTTATAGCCAAATTCAAAACAGATACCACCTTTATAAATTGATTGAACGTCAGTAAGCATCTTCCGCTGTCCAACTCTAATACATTAGGAGTATGATAAGATTTCCAAGATTCCCATTCCTCCCAACCATCGGAATTAACAGTTGGAACTGGCCAATCCATAGCTCGAATCAATGGGGTACGTCCCATTCTTGCAGCCAATAATGTATTTATAACATAAACTGTAGACCAAGTTCTCTCACGGATAATTTTATCTAACGTAGTAGACTGTTGGGGTGTTTCCGATCCTGTTTCTTTTTTAAGCTGTTGATTGTTATCGTCATTATTTGATGTTGCGGGTGTCATGAGTCTAACATCTAGGGCCATACGAGTTGAAGATGATATCAATACCCAAGAATAATCCCATTCTCCTTGTTGATAATAATAAAGACCTAGCAATAACATTGCTTGAATTGTTTCGATTGTAGAAGTTAATGAATTTTCGAGGGCCATAATGGCATTTTTAGCATAAGATTCTGATATTGCATTCGCAGATCTATCATTTGAAGAATTGTTTGAAGTTCCTGCTTTTCCTAGAGCAATAATAGCCCATAATAATGCAATCAAGTTACAGTCTGATGCTTGGAAAGATGACGAATTAGTATTATTACCCAAAAATTGTAAATGGTGGATTTGCCTAATAATGGACAATCTATCCAACATAGGAAGCCAAGTATGATATATCTGGAAATAGCAGTCAACTAATTTTCTTAGATTGTCAGGAAATTGAAATATTTCTATTGGTAATTTTATGGTGTTGGCTATTGATGCTGTTATTGCCGCAGAGGATACGTTAAATATAGATCCAACTCTAAACGGGTTTTTCTGCTTCAAAAGAAGCTTGTTGTTATACTGTTGAATAGATTTTGTAGTGAATCCTGAAATTAAAGATGACAAACCATGGTATTGTAAAGCAACTGGCTCCCAGTTGTCCTTTGTGTCCTCCAACTCGTCAGAGATAAATTGGAATATATCATCCTTCAAAAAGTATGATGGGTCATTTACAAGATTATAATCTTGTGTCATTTTACCATTACTGACGTTGAAAAGTGGGTTATTAAGCAACGTACTGAAGCTTGTAGGATTTGAAACAAGATTCATATCCAGATGCTGTTGTTGCTGCTGATGTGCATTTGAAAGTGAAGTCAATCCTGTTGTACAATTCTTTGCGTCATGGACACTAGAGTTGTTCTCTATTATAAACTGATTAAACATATCAGATAATGCGTGATTGTCCCATAATACTTGAAGACTGCCTATATTCCTAATGAGATTCTGTGCTTCTAAAGGATCAGTAAGCAATTTCAATAAGTGATTCTCTAATCCACCATTTTGAGAATCTGGTTGATTTCCATTCATTAAGCTGGCAAATAAAGCTTGGAATAATAGTACCTTCTTTTCTAAGTCATGCGTGTAACCTGTAGGCAATCCCCTTCGTTTTGATGACTGGGTATATGTACAGCTCTCAGAATTAGCAACACATGTCGAACATACTGGAGTCTTTCCATCACATTTAGCTTTCTTTGACCGACAGTAATCGCATGCTTGTTTCACTCTTCTTTTCTTTCGATTATGACTGTCCAATGGCTCCGACATAATTACAACAAATACCTATCAAATAAATAATCATAAACCTATCTCTAAGTTTATCTAGCTAGACAATTATTAGATCAATGACTAAGAATATGAACTTATAGAACGTACTAGTTTAGATCCACATCCACTAGATGAAGAAGTCGTTTGCCTGTATCGTTTTATTATGGTACTTAAAAGTCAGGATAAAAACTTATCCGCACTGGCATTAATAAATTACGCGGGGTACAATTTCTACTACACAAAAAGTGGCTTCAATGTTATAGAATACTATATTTTTTCAGTCAGTTACTATGGAGATTATTTACTTCTATAAATCGATTTCAATTGGTTTCAAATTTGGGGAAATTTCGAAAGATGCTTCGGTCTTTGCCTTAATTTCTTCAACAGATGAAGATGGATCGTACTCGATAAGGACCAATTTTTCATCAATAACGTCAAAGACAGCTAAATCAGTAATAAGTCTAGATACACATCTCTTACCGGTTAATGGGAAAGCACATTCTTCTAATATTTTTGGTCTTCCCTTCTTGTCGACATGCTCCATGACCACAACCACTCTGGTAGCGCTAGGGTTGGAAACCAAATCCATGGCACCACCCATTCCTTTAACACGACCAGGTAAGCCCCAGTTGGCTAAATCACCCTTTGCAGAGACTTGTAAACCACCCAAGATAGTTAAGTCGATTTTACCACCTCTAATCATGGCAAAAGATTCTTCTGAACCGAATAAAGATGATCCAGCTTGAACAGTAACGGTTTCCTTACCTGCGTTGATCATATCTGGATCTTCTTCGCCCTTGTTTGGATAAGGACCTAAACCTAAGATACCGTTTTCAGATTGTAAAGTGACGTTTATGGATTTTGGTAAGTAGTTTGGTGCTAAAGTTGGCATACCAATGCCTAAGTTAGCAAATGAACCATCCTTAAATTCTTGAGCAGCTCTTCTAACGATCTTTTGTCTCTTTAATTCAGCCTCGGAAGCAGGAGCTTTATCAACAGAATCTTCAGATTCAGAGAATTTGAAAATCTCAATATCCTTTGGTGTAGTGGATTGAATAACTCTGTCAACATAAATGGATGGTAAATGAACGTCTTCTGGTAATATTTCACCAGGTTGTACTATATGTTCAGCTTCGACGATAGTTAATTTGGCATTTCTACCCATGACAGAATTGAAGTTCCTAGCAGCACCTTTGAACCAACAGTTCCCGAGTGTATCAGCTTTATATGCCTTGACTAATGCAACATCTCCGAAAATAGCATTTTCTAACAAGAATTTTCGTCCATTAAATTCTCTCACTTCTCTTGGCTCAGTAGCTTTCAATACTTTGGTTCCAGTTTCGTCATATCTGACTGGAAGTTTACCTTCCTCCAACCAGGTACCAACACCTGCAGGAGAGTAAAAAGCTGGGATACCTGCGGCTCCTGCTCTCACTCTTTCTGCCAAATTTCCCTGTGGTGTTAGTTCCAAATCAATTTTACCTGTTAAATATAAACTTTCGAAAGTTCTATTACCCCCGATATAAGAAGAAATCATCTTGGTAATCTGACCAGTGACTAACAATTGTGATAAACCTCTTCCATCGAGACCTGCGTTATTCGATACAGCCGTGATGTTTTGAATTTCCGATTTTTCTTTTAATGCATTAATGACAGTATCTGGAACACCGCTTAGCCCAAATCCTCCAGATAACAATGTGATGTTAGATTCGATTCCCTTTAAAGCTTCATCAGTAGTTTCAACAACTTTTGAGTGTTGAGTTGTCTTTGATAAGAGCCTAGCGAACCTTCCGATAGAACGGTTCGAAGCACTCACACTAGAAATATTCAATGACTTAATTAGCTGCATTACGATTGAGTAGTAACTGATGAGTTCAAAAAATCTCTAAACTAGTGATAAGGTATAGATTATATATTCTCCAGCATTCATCTTCGGAAATACATTTAAGCGGGGTCTTTGGGTACTGAGGGTTGCGAAAATATTAAGCCGGAAATATGTAATCGAATCACGGATTTCTGATCTTACGACCAGTGACGATCAAGAAAGTCTACATATACGGATATTTAAAATCTATTCTAGACTAAAATGGTGTGATGTAACAGATTGTTTTATTTGCAATTCAAAAACGTACATTCATTAAATTAAAAAAATTGCTAATTAATTTACATTAAACTAATCTAATGGAGCTGCTATTGGCAAACCATTTTCATTGATAGTGAAATTGCCTTTACCTAATGCTTTCAAAGCATCAGTATTTTTAGTTAAGACTAATTTTCTTGATTCTTCTTCTGTGATAATCCTGAAATGCCAATTCAAATACCAATCATCTTCCTTCATATTGTATTTTACTGCTTTTTCTTTGCCTAATTTATCTAAGGAAAATAATAATTCTGATTTGACACCAAAAACAGCATCTGATGTTTCATAATCACCTTTTAAATACAATGCAGTAATAAGCTTATCGTAACCTTCCTTTTCAATAATAAAGTGAATGTGAGCAGGTCTATATGGATGTCTGTTGATTTTTTTCAACATTCTTCCAACCGGCCCATCATGAGGAATAGGGTATGGCACTGGCTTAGTGCATTTAATATGGAAAGAACCATCTTCACCGGTACGTATAATACCTCTCATGTCCGCTCCATCTCTATCAGAGTACTGAGTATCGTAAAATCCATTTTCGTCACATTCCCATAAGTCAATTGTTGCATTAGGAATTGGATTTCCCTTGGTGTCTGTCAATAATCCTTCAATAAGCATTGGTTCACCTTTTCCCTCTGAACAAATAGAAGTTCCATCTTCGTGGAATACTGCATCATGTGTGTGGAATGGTCCCAATAAGGTTCCAATAGTGGCTTCTTTTGGCTTTGGATGAGAAAGACTGTCCACTAAAACAGACAATCCTAAAGTGTCAGATAATAATACAAACTCTTGTCTTATATCTGAACACATTTTACCAACTTCAGTCAAGAATTGAATTCCCGCATCCCATTCATCGGTAGTTAATCTTGTTTCTCTCGCGAAATCATGCAAATGATGAACTAATCTGTCCATTATGAATGTCAATCTCTTATCATCGTGCTGAGAGTTGATTGCAACTGTGTTTTCAGTGATTGTTTCCTCATTCATCTCGAGAATCTGCAACTTCCCATCCACAAATACTGGACCTGATTTACTTGGCATGTTCGATGATTTATTATGTTTTAACGAATTTATAAGGTAATTCCACAATAAAGTAGTTACTGATGAATTATATTCCTAACAAATCAAGGACTTACGTATACTTTTATACGCTGTTGTAAAACCTTTTCCCCATGTGGGGTTAAACATTTATCCGGCGTATCAGACGACTTTACGACTTTATCGTCATCGATCACTCAGCAAACCGAAAAGTACGCGAGATTTCTGTTTTGTGATCGGAAATGTGATCCTGACAAGACTAAGATCGGTCCGGATTACGATGAATCGAATACAAACTTATTACGGCCGTAATAAAGGAATTATGTCCTTATATACCAGCTATATACTCATATACCCTATATAAGGATATGTAACAAGAATTCATCATTTGTTTAAAGCAAACTCAATAGCAGCAGTATAACCATATACTCCCAATCCACAAATAACTGCAGTGGCTGTATCACTTAAAAACGATTTGTGTCTGAACTCCTCTCTACTATGCACGTTGGTGATATGTACTTCAATAAATGGAATCGCAACAGCCAGTAAAGCATCTCTAATTGCGACAGAGGTGTGGGTATAAGCCCCTGCATTTATAACAATGAATTCGACGCCTTGTTTCTTAGCTTCATGGATACGATCAACGATAAATCCTTCAGTATTGTTTTGATAAACGGCCATTTCAGAACCTTTTGCTTTGGCCTGGTCAATGGCTGCTTGCTCGATATCCTTTAATGTAGTGGTACCATACTTTTCCGGTTCTCTAGTACCCAACAGGTTCAAATTTGGACCGTTGATTAATAAGATTTTCTTGACCATTCTATAGTCTGGGGTTAATGTGATAAGATGCGTAACAAATGAAGTACTTTTTTCAACGTATTATTCGTCAATATCTTGTAATATTCCAATCAATTGTTAAACAATCAATAAGGTTCGGTTGTTTTATTAAGTCAAGAATATACTTTGCCTGATCTTGTCGATGGATCGTATATATAGACTACTCTACTTCTTTTTCACTCTTGTGAATATCTCCAATGTGGGTTAAGTAATTATCCGTCGAGTGAGCAATTACTCCAGTTGTGTGCACTACTACGGAATTCTACACCTTTGTGGCTCTTACACGGATAATCGTTCTAGCGTATAAATGTCCCGCCATTTCCATATATAACCTGAAAAGTAATGTCCTATAAATCATCCTGTATTCTTCCTATTATCAGAAGAAATTATAGTAATTTATTTAATATTTCGAAAATGACAGTACAACCAGAACGTTTCGGATTAGAGTCGCAAGTAAAGAGAAACCCTCACCCAGATTTCAACAAGGTCGAAAACGAAAGAGCTCCATTTGAAAAGGAAACAAAGTGGAAATTCACAAGAATACCTGATAAGGACTGGACTCCTGGCTCAGGTGCTAACGATGATAGCTGGAAAGACCACAAAAAGATACAAATAGATCCGTTCGCAGAAGACAGAAATCCGGTAGATAATTACAAAACGCTTATTTCCGCAATTGTCCCAAGACCTATCGGATTTGTGTCCACCATTGGAGCTGATGGAACTCGTAACTTGGCGCCATTTTCCTACTTCACTGTTGTTAACCACGATCCTCCAATTTTCACTATCGGTTTTTCTGGGGGTCGCGGAAACGCTAAAGATACCTGCCGTAACGTTTTAGACACTAAGGAATTGACTATTAACATCATTTCAGAATGGTTTGTGGAGGCTGCTAATTTCTGTTCCACAAATGCCCCATTGAATGTGGACGAATGGAAATTGTCAGGTTTGACTCCATTAGAATCCACAAAGGTCAAGCCACAGCATGTCGCAGAATCAGCCTTCTCCATCGAAGCTAAATTGTTGCACTCGCATGAATGGACTTCCAAGAGAGATGAAAATAAGGTCACTGGTACCTTATGTATTGTCGAAGGTGTTAACTTCCATGTTCGGGATGACGTGATCAATGACCAATTAAATATTCTTGATATAGACAAGTTGAAGCCTGTTTCAAGATTAGGTGGTATTACATACGGTAGAACAGTTTCTGGTTATGAAAAGTTGAGACCAGACTTCGACAAGGAATCTGAAACTGATGAAGTCAAGAAGATCCTAAACGGAAATTAGATGTAGAGCGCTAATGTAAAATATTCTAGTGCGCTTTTGTTTGCATTTATAGGTTTAATTAATATACTACAAAGGTTAAATTTACCATAATCATCAAATTTACAAACCTTACTTTGTAGAAGATAAGAAGTATAAATAATTATTCACAATTTGATTTTTGTCGGATTCTAATATAACATTTTGTAGATTATTTCACTTGATGCAAAATTTAATCGAAAAATACAAAAATGCAAAAAATCCTTTAAAACTTGTTCATAGAGCAAAACAAATTTTACTTTATTCAACCTATTAGCCATATACAGCTACTAATATAACGTATTATATACTATATCTGTGACATTTCAAGTCCATAATACTTTAATCACAATCAGTGGCAGGAATTAGCAGCTTTCCTGTTATCTTGTTGTATAACCTGTAAAAAATGAGAAACCTGTATTTTAAATCATCTCAGCTAAAAAAAAGTTTAGATGATAATTTTCAGACTAAACATCATATAGATTAAACTTTAAGGTTCTAGATGTCTGTTGTGGGCTCATTAATATTCTGCACTGATTGTGGTAACTTATTGGATACAGTAGGATCCAAATCCACCTTAAATTGTAAATTATGTTATAAGTCGTATCCAACATCAAATTTTGCAAATTTGAAGGTCATCACTCAATCATCGGAAGATGCATTCCCATCTGCTTTAAAGATGAAGAGATCAGTTGTCAAGACTTCTTTGAAGAATGATGAGTTAGAGGAAGGTGCTACTATTAAGGAGAAGTGTCCAAAGTGTGGTACTGAAGAAATGCAATACCATGTGTTACAGTTGAGATCTGCGGACGAAGGTGCTACTGTTTTCTACACCTGTACAGGGTGTGGATACCGTTTCAGAACTAATAATTGAAGTCTTTTCAAATTAGTTCTTTGAATGGAAAAAAATAAAACTTGTATAATAGATAAACTTATTTGTATTCAATAAAGGATAAAAAGTACCAGCATGTAGCATATATTACATAGATTCTAGCGAATCGCCAGGATAATCTAAAGACTCAGAGATTCTATTAAATTTCGATAGAGTTTTCATATTCATACATATCCAAAGCAACTATAGCCGAATCTCTAACCACTTGATCCTTATCATTCAAGAATGATTGTAAAACAGGTAAACATTCATCAGTAGCAATGGACCCTAAAGCTTCAGCAGCTTCGTGTCTAACCATAGCAGCTTCTCTTTCATCTTTCAATGTTTTAATCAAAGCTGGAACAGTAACGGGATTACATAATTGACCAAAAACATAAGCTATTTCGTGCTTAAACAATGCAGATGGATCGTCAACAAGACCCGAAGCTAAGGCAAGACAGGCCTCATCAGTACCCAAGTCTCTCAATCTGAACATGGCTCTGTATCTCTCAAATAATGGCGCATCTTGATCATTCAAAATCTTTTGTAACTTTTCAATTTTCGATTCTTGATCAGAAGGCATAGGTGGTGCAGGATCAATAGAAGTATACAAAGAGGTTTCCAAGTTTTCTGCCTTGGCCTTTTCTGAGTTTTCCCACCTAATTCTTTCAATAGCCAATTCACATGTTTGCTTAATTTCTATGGATGGATCATTCTTGAAATAGTCTTCTAATAATGCCAAGGAATCCTTGTCACCTAAAGCACCTAAGGCCTCAGCTGCTTCGTGTCTGACCATAATTTGTTGCTTATCGTTTTCCAACACATTTCTCAAGTATTGGGCTGCGTGCAAATTCTTAGTTTGACCTAAAACATACGCAACCTCGTGCTTTAACAACTCAGAATCGTCCTTAAACGATTCAGCTATGTAATCGATAGCCTTGTGTACATCTTCCTGATTTTCTGACTCGGCTCCAACACATTTCAAGTTAAATAAGGCTCTGAACCTGTTGGCCAACTTGACGTCACCAGACTTGTTTGTTAAAACATCTCTTAACTGCTCTAAACTAGCAGTATCGATATTGATTTCTTCAGCCATATTATTACTACACACGTATCTATCCTGTTCTTAAAATTTCAGTGATTCAACCACTCTCCGGACTCAAAAACGTAGCTATCTGTAAAGGAAGAATGAAAAAAAAATTATCTGATGAGAATGCGGCTTACCGTTTTCTCAGCCTAATTCCTGAAGGCCCTAGACCGATAACTCAGGAATTTGTTAAGAGTCCAACCAATAAAACTACATATATATATTACTGCCCATCTGAAAAATACGCTTGACTACTTTTCCTAGTTGTTTCTCAATTGGGGTCATGAACAATTTAGAAACTAGCATTATTCTCCATATTTAACAGCCATGCTCTCTCGGTAACGTTGAAAAATCGGGATATGAGGTAACTTGCAAAATTTGGCTTGGGATTATATAATCTACAGGTTAGCCCGTCAAAAGATTTTTTGTATCGCGCATCAACATGAACAACTAGTGAAAGGCAATAGATATTGCAGTTCTTTTTGATTGTAGAGTAACCAAAAGAGATATAAATAAAGATGGCAGCTCCTCCAATGCCAGATATGTCTAATGCCATTATGGCACAAGATGAAATGGGAAGACCATTCATTATTGTTAGAGATCAAGGCAAGAAACAAAGAAAGCACGGTATTGAAGCTACCAAATCACATATATTAGCGGCTAGATCAGTTGCATCGATAGTGAAGACTTCGTTGGGACCAAGAGGGTTAGATAAAATTTTGATCAGTCAGGACGGGGAAATAACTATAACTAATGATGGGGCTACGATTTTATCGCAGATGGACGTTGACAATGAGATTGCCAAGTTGTTGGTTGAATTGTCAAGATCACAAGACGACGAAATTGGAGATGGTACTACTGGGGTTGTTGTTTTAGCAGGTGCGTTATTGGACCAAGCTTTGGAATTGATCGAGAAGGGGATTCACCCAATCAAGATTGCCAATGGATACGATGAGGCATGTAAAATTGCGTGCCAACAATTGGACAAGATTGCGGATGAGATCAGCATCAAGAATGAATCCACAGATACCAACTTGTTGAAGTCGGCTAAAACGTCGTTAGGATCCAAGATTGTGTCGAAATCGCACGATCACTTTGCACAAATGGCAGTTGATGCTGTGTTGGCGGTAGCAGATTTCGAAAGAAGAGATGTCGATTTTGAGTTAATCAAGATGGAAAGTAAAGTCGGTGGTTCTATTGAAGATTCTTCGTTGATCAAAGGTGTTTTACTTGACAAGGACTTCTCGCATCCTCAAATGCCTAAGAAAATTGAAGATTGTAAGATTGCGATATTGACATGTCCATTCGAACCACCAAAACCAAAGACTAAACACAAGCTTGACATATCTACCGTAGAAGAGTTCCAGGTCTTGCAAGAATATGAACAAAAAAAGTTCCAAGAAATGATTGATCATGTCAAGGCTTCGGGTGCCAATGTTGTTGCTTGCCAATGGGGATTTGACGACGAAGCCAATCATTTGTTATTGGCCAATGGCTTGAATGCCATCAGATGGATCGGTGGGTCCGAATTGGAATTATTAGCCATTGCCACTAATGGTCGTATCGTTCCAAGATTTGAAGATTTATCGCCAGAAAAATTGGGTAAGGCTGGTACTATAAGAGAATTAGAATTTGGTACTACCAGAGACCGTATGTTGGTGGTTGAAGACTGTTCTAATACTAAAGCTGTCACCTGTTTTGTCAGAGGTTCTAACGAAATGATTGTTGCTGAAGGTATCAGATCTTTACATGACTCTATTTGTGTTGTTCGTAACTTAATTAGAGATAACAGAGTTGTCTATGGTGGTGGTGCTGCTGAATTGACTTGTTCCTTAGCCGTCAGCGAAGCTGCAGATAGCCAGATTGGTATTGACCAATATGCTTTCAGAGCTTTTGCAAACTCATTGGACACTATTCCAATGACTCTTGCCGAAAACTCCGGTTTAGACCCAATTGAAACCTTATCCAGCTTAAAGTCTAAGCAAGTGATTGAAAAATCATCTCACTTAGGTGTTGACTGTTTAGGTAAGGGCACCAATGACATGAAAGAATTATTTGTCATTGATCCATTGATTGGTAAGAAGCAGCAATTATTATTGGCCACTCAATTGACAAGAATGATCTTGAAAATTAATGATGTTATTATCAGCGGTAAAGACGAATATTAGTGTACCTATACCTTAATTCTTACATATATATATATATATCATACAATTTATAGTCGTTTTTCACTGTATAGTATATTTGCAATATGGATCGCCATAGTGGAACATTGTAGTGTCTTAACCAAAAATCGAGTTATCCCTTTTAACTCGATAATGTCTTCCAGGCAGTATAGATTGTGGTTAGACTAACCTTCGAGTCAATCATATTAAAAAACGAATTATTTACAGTCTTGTTTCCAGACAATAATCAATTATTCTCCTGTTTATAAGTTAAATATAAGATAGATTCAAGATGGCAAGTATGGGCACTCCAGCTGTTGTCATGGACAATGGTACAGGATTAACTAAATTAGGATTTGCAGGGAATGATTCACCATCATTTGTATTTCCAACAGCAATTGCTACCTCATCAGCATCAACAAAGACTTCCAAGTCTTCAGCAAAGTCGTCGTTTTTATCTTCCAAAAGAGGATTAGAGGATTTGGATTTCTTCATTGGTAGTGAAGCGTTGAACGCTAGCGGACCAAACTACAATTTGTCATATCCAATTAGACATGGACAAATTGAGAATTGGGATCATATGGAAAGATTCTGGGAGAGCTCGATTTTCAAATATTTAAGATGTGAACCAGAAGATCATTACTTTTTGTTAACCGAACCTCCATTAAACCCTCCAGAAAACAGAGAAAGCACAGCTGAAATTATGTTTGAATCATTCAATTGTGCTGGGTTATACATCGCAGTGCAAGCTGTTTTAGCATTGGCTGCATCTTGGACATCCTCAAAAGTGCAAGATAGATCTTTGACTGGTACCGTTATTGATTCTGGTGACGGTGTCACCCATGTCATACCGGTTGCTGAGGGTTATGTAATTGGTGCTGCCATCAAAAATATTCCGTTAGCTGGTAGAGACATAACATTGTTTATTCAATCCTTGTTAAGAGATCGTGGGGAGGCCGATACATCTTTACAAACGGCCGAAAAGATCAAACAACAATTTTGTTACGTTTGCCCTGATATTGTAAAGGAATTCAGTAAGTTTGATCAATACCCCCAAGAAAAATTCGCTCAATATATGGTTGAATATGCTGATAAGAATAGGAACACCACCGTTGACGTTGGTTACGAAAGATTTTTGGCACCAGAAATTTTCTTCAACCCAGAAATTTGCTCGTCTGACTTCTTAACCCCATTACCAACCATAGTTGATCAAGTTATTCAATCATCTCCAATTGATGTCCGTAAGAAGTTATATAAGAACATCGTCTTGTCTGGTGGTTCAACTATGTTCAAGGACTTCGGAAGAAGGTTACAAAGAGATTTGAAAGGTTTAGCCAACGAAAGAATCGAATTAAGTGAAAGATTGAGTGGTGTTAAAAGTACCGGTGTTGATGTTCAAGTCATTTCCCACAAGAGACAACGTAATGCTGTGTGGTTTGGTGGTTCTTTATTGGCACAAACTTCAGAATTTAAGAGTTATTGTTACACTAAGCAAGATTACGACGAGTATGGTCCAAGTATTGTCAGAAATTTCTCCTTGTTTTCTGTACCATAGACTTTTTGGCTTTTATACTCTTTTTCACACGAATTGTAAGTCAAATATGTATTTAGACAGTTTATATTACATGATTATTTTTATTTATATGCGTAGTGTGCGTACCACAAATTTCATTAAAAACGCTCAACCCTATACAGATAAGACAAGCTAAACACAGATATTCAATATATTCAGGGAAAACAGATCGAAATTGAAGGCAATAATGTCTACAGCTCAACTACAGATAGTTGATGGAATAGCATTAACGCAGATTTTCAATGGTTTAAAATCAAATAAGGAAGAAGAAAGAAATAGATATGCCTTAGAATTACGAAATTATCTAGCTTCTATAGCTAGAGATCTATCACCAGAGCAGTTTAATAGATATAATAACGATATCAATAAAACTATTTTTGAATTTTTGCATAGTAATGAAACAACAGAGAAATTGGGAGGAATAGCAGCGTTGAATTCTTTGATTGATTTTGATTCGGGTGTAGGGGAAGAAAATGCTACAAAGACAGCTAGATTTTCAAATTACTTGGGATCATTAATCTTATCAAACGATTTGACAATTATGAAGCAAGCAACCATGACCTTGGGTAAGTTGGCCACTCCTGGAGGTACTCTTACAGGTGACTTTGTCGATTTCGAAGCTAAAAGGGCCATAGAATGGTTACAGAGTGACAATAAGCAACATGAAAACAGAAGGCATGCAGCAATATTGATTATCACTGCATTAGTGGATAATGCTCCTACTTTATTATATAACTTTATCAACCAGATTTTGGAGCATTTGTGGATCCCATTGAGAGACAATAAGTTGGTAATAAGAACCGATGCAGCTATTGCTTTACAGAAATGCATGCGAATAATTTATGATAGAGATATAAATTCTCGTCGATTTTGGATCAAACATTTCATAGATATGGCATCGAAAATATTAAACGATAATGTTGCAAGAAGCAGTGCATCTGAATCCAATGACGCAAGTAGCAATGGTAATAGTAATAATGGCGTGAGTTCTGTCAATGCAGCGGCAAATACCGCCTATAACTTAATTTATTCCACTGCTACGGGTTCGCAAGCTAACGAGTCAATTCATGGTTCTCTTCTTGTTTACAGAGAACTAATTTCATTTCATAGTGATCCATATATTCATTCCAAATTTGAATTGATTTACGAAAACACAGTATTGTATAGGAATCATAAACAAGCAATCATTAGACAAGAATTAACTAATATCATTCCACTATTGTGCAAAGTGAATACTGAATTATTTGTTGAAAAATATTTGCATAGAACATTATTGCATTATTTATCACAGTTAAAGCAATTAAAAAGTCAACATAGCGAAACAGCAAATAAAGATAAGAGTGCCATATTTAGAAGTATTGGGTTAATTTCTTTGGAAGTAGGAAACCAAATGGCAACTTACTTGGATGCTATTTTAGATAATATTCGAGATGGATTATCTTATCCTTCCAATCCAAGTGTACAGCTGATTTTAGTCAATGCAGTATCTAATAATGGTGATAATCCACTATCTGGAGCTGTTACTTCGAGTAATGGGTCTGCTCAGTCAACCATCAATGGCTTGAATAGCATCTCCACTTCTGTTTCTGGACCCTCAAAGTATAGATCCAGCAGAAAGAATACGGAACCTGCCATTTTTGATTGCATAAGTAAATTATCTATTGCTGTAGGTCCAGCTTTGACAAAACATTTACAGCGTGATATCTTGGATATGATGTTTAGTAACTGTTCCTTATCGGTCTACATGCAGAATGTCCTACAAACCTTAATCGTTAATATTCCAATGTTAACTAATCTTATAAACATGAAGCTATTGAACTTATTAAGTTTGGTTTTATCAGGAAAATTTTCAACCTCCTGGTTCGCCATATGGATCCATAAAATGAACGAATCCTTAGCAAGAGACTATAGATTAATTATGATCTCAAGAGACACAGGATTAAGTATCAACAATATACTTAACGATCCAGATAATTATGAAAACTATGATAGTGCAATTTTGGTCCAAGCATTAAATATGCTCGCTTTTTTTGAATTCGAGAACTATCAGCTAAATGAATTCGTAAGATACTGTACAATAACGTATCTTGAACACAATGTCCCTAAAGTTCGTCAAACTGCTACGATAACATCGTGTGAAATATTTATTAAAGATCCAATTTGCCAACAAACTAGTGTGAATGCATTAAATGCTGTTAACGAAGTTTTAGACAAACTTCTCTCTATAGCAATCACTGATCCCATACCTGAAATAAGGTTAGAAGGCTTAAATTGTTTGGCAAATGCTGGAAACTTTGATCCTCAACTTTCACAGGCTAACAATGTCAGACTTCTATTTATTGCATTAAATGATGAGGTATTCAGCATCCGGAAAATAGCCATAAAAATTTTAGGTAGGTTATCGTCGATAAATCCCGCCTATATTGTTCCTTCTTTAAGAAAGACTTTAATTCAATTATTGTCGCGTTTGGAATATTCACCTACAAGTCGGAAAAAGGAAGAAAGCGCTACATTAATATCACTTCTTATAAGCAATTCAAAGGAATTAACAAGACCGTATGTGAAGCCAATAGTCGAAGCATTATTGCCGAAGGCAAAAGATCCAAGCTCATCAGTCGCCGCAAGTGCAATCAACTGTCTTGGGGAGTTAGCGGTCGTTGGAGGGGAAGATTTACAGCCCTTTATTCCTGATTTGATGCCTTTAATTTTAGACACTTTCCAAGATCAGAGTTCTTCTTTTAAAAGAGACGCCGCATTGAAAACATTAGGCCAATTGGCTAGTTCATCTGGGTACGTTATTAAACCTTTGCTTGATTATCCACAGTTATTGGGGATGTTAGTCGGAATTTTAAAGCTGGAAAGTTCACCTCATATAAGGAGAGAAACAGTTAGATTATTGGGTATCTTAGGTGCATTAGACCCTTATAAGCATCGTGAGGTTGAGCAGAATTCTAAGAATATACCATCAGAACAAAATGCTCCACCAGTAGATGTTGCATTGCTAATGCAAGGTATGTCTCCGTCAAATGATGAATACTATCCAACAGTTGCTATAAATAACCTAATGAAAATTTTAAAAGATCCATCATTGACAGCTCATCACAATAAAGTGATTCAAGCTATCATGTATATTTTCCAGACATTAGGGTTAAGATGCGTTTCATTTTTACCACAAATCATTCCTGGTATTATCAATGTCATGAATACATGTCAGCCTTCGATGTTGAAGTTTTACTTTCAACAATTAGGTGCATTAATATTGATAGTTAAGCAACATATTAGACCATTTCTTCCTGAAATATTTGAAGTTATCAAGGGATCTTTCAACATTAATATCCAATTGAATGTTCAAGTGATCATTATTAATTTGATTGAGTCTATTTCAAGGGCTTTGGAAGGTGAGTTTAAAATGTACCTTCCAGATGTTTTGAATTTAATGTTAAATGTCTTTGAAGATGATAAATCAGTTAAAAGAGAACCATCTTTACATGTTTTGAAAGCATTTGTTGTCTTTGGAAGCAGCATTGAAGAATATGTGCATATAATAGTACCAAATATTGTGAAAATGTTTGAAATGGGTCCGATTGTACTTCGTCGTGCTGCCATAGAGACAATTGGTAGATTATCAAAGCAAGTTCTATTGAATGATATGGCATCTAGAATTATACACCCTATTTTACGTGTATTACGCCAAGGTAACGATGAATTGAAAGCTACTGCAATGAATACTTTAAGTTACTTATTATTACAATTAGGTAACGAGTTCAGTGTTTTTATTCCTGTAATCAAATCATTATTGATACAACAAAAAATACACTCAGCAATTTTTGAGCAACTTGTTAATAAGCTTTTAAGTGGTGATCCATTACCAGCTTATCTTAACATTTATAAAGATTATGATATCCATGTTAATCATTTTGACGTTCCTGATGTTGATATGCCGTCTAAGAAATTACCAGTCAACCAAGGTGCATTGAAGGCAGCTTGGGATTCCAGCCTGCGCCGAACCAAGGAGGACTGGCAAGAATGGATTGGGAGGCTAAGTAAAGAATTATTGAAGCAAAGTCCTTCGCATGCAATAAGGGCATGTGCTGGATTAGCAACTGATTATCATCCTTTAGCAAAAGATTTATTTAATGCAAGTTTTGCTAGTTGTTGGAGTGAATTATATTCACAGCATCAGGAAGAATTAGTAGAATCGTTTTGTATTGCATTATCATCCCCAAATAATCCCCCAGAAATTCATCAGATTTTGTTAAATTTAGCTGAATTTATGGAACATGATGATAAATCTTTACCAATCGCAATAACAACTCTAGGTCAATACGCGCAGCGTTGTCATGCATATGCTAAAGCATTACATTATCAAGAATTAGAATTTTATGTGGAACCTACTACTCCAACAATTGAGTCGTTAATCAGCATAAATAACCAGCTTCAGCAATCTGATGCAGCTGTTGGAATTTTGAAGCATGCGCAATTGCACCATGACCTTCAATTAAAGGAAACATGGTATGAGAAGTTACAGAGATGGGATGATGCCTTACGAGCATATAGTTTGAGAGAGAAGCAGGAACCTGACAATATGGAAATTACTATGGGTAAAATGAGATGTTATCATGCTTTGGGAGAATGGGAGCAGTTATCTGAATTAGCTCAAAGCAAATGGAATAACTCTTCCAGTGATATAAAAAGAGGCGTAGCTCCTTTGGCAGCTGCAGCTGCTTGGGGTTTAGGTCAATGGGATAGAATGGATTCATGTATAAAGGTCATGAAAACAGAATCTCCGGATAAAGCTTTCTTTAACGCTATTTTAAGTTTACATCGTAATAATTTTGAGGATGCATCTAACCATATTTTGAAAGCAAGAGACTTATTGGTAACTGAAATTACTGCATTAGTGAGTGAAAGTTATAATAGAGCTTACGGCGTTGTAGTAAGGGTTCAAATGCTTGCAGAGTTAGAAGAAATTATCAAGTATAAATGCTTGCCGCAAGGTTCAGAGAAACGGGTTATTATGAGAAAAACTTGGAATACAAGATTACTTGGATGTCAGAGAAATGTTGATATTTGGCAAAGAATGTTAAAAGTTAGAGCTCTTGTTATCAAGCCCAAACAAGATATGGATATGTGGATTAAGTTTGCCAACTTATGTCGTAAATCAGGTAGATTGAATTTAGCTGAAAAGTCGTTGAATTATTTATTGGAAGAGGGTTCTCCAGAAAATCCTTCTAGAGCTCCACCACAAGTTGTATATGCACAATTGAAATACATGTGGGCCAAGGGGCAGCAGAAAGAAGCCTTACGTCATTTAGTTGATTTTACGACTCGGATGTCTCAAGATTTGGGATTAAATCCAAATGACTTGATCACACAGCCATTGCCATCTGAAGGGCCAGGTATTCCAAAGCATGTGGAAGAGTATACGAAGCTTTTGGCTAGATGCTTTTTGAAGCAAGGTGAATGGCAAATATCATTAAACAATAATTGGAGAACTGAAACTTCAGAAATTATATTGGGAGCATATCTTTTAGCAACGCATTTTGACGACAAATGGTATAAAGCATGGCATAATTGGGCTCTTGCCAATTTTGAAGTGATTTCACTTTTCACTTCGCAGAATAACAACGGTAATAACGGAACTATCAATGTTAGTCAAGGTGAAATAATGGATCAAAATGATCAAGTGAACGTTACAACATCTGATGAGCAATCTCAACAGCCCCAGAGACAGATACAACCTACAAATATTATACCTATGGATGTTGTTCAACGTCATGTCGTTCCGTCTATAAAAGGTTTCTTCCATGCTATTGCATTATCAAATACAAATTCTTTGCAGAATACATTGAGATTGCTTACGTTGTGGTTTAAATTTGGGGGAATTCCTGAAGCAGCTCAAGCTATGAATGAGGGTTTTAACATGGTTAAAATTGATAATTGGTTGGAGGTTGTTCCTCAATTAATTTCACGTATTCATCAACCAAATCAAACTGTTAGCAGATCTTTATTTGGATTATTAACTGATTTGGGTAAAGCACATCCTCAAGCACTTGTTTATCCATTGGCAGTTGCAGTTACATCTGAGTCTGTAAACCGTAAAAAGGCTGCATTGTCAATTATTGATAAAATGCGTATTCACTCCGCAACCTTGGTTGATCAATCTGATTTAGTCAGTCATGAATTGATCAGAGTTGCTGTACTCTGGCATGAACAATGGTACGAAGGTCTAGAAGATGCATCAAGACTTTTCTTTGGTGAGCACAATACTGAAAAGATGTTCGAAGTTTTAGAGCCTTTGCATCAAATGTTACAAAAGGGACCCGAGACCATGAGAGAGGCATCATTTAATAATGCATTTGGTAGAGAACTTGCTGATGCATATGAATGGGTTTTGAACTTCCGTCGTACTAAAGATATTACTAATCTAAACCAAGCATGGGATATATACTATAATGTTTTCCGGAGAATTAGTAGACAGTTGCCTCAATTACTGAGTTTGGAATTACAATATGTATCACCGAAGTTGGAGGAGGCAAACAACCTTGAATTGGCAGCGCCAGGTACATATCATGCCGGAAAACCAACCATCAAGATTGTCAAGTTTGATCCAACATTTTCAGTCATCTCATCTAAACAGAGACCAAGAAAATTATCATGCAAAGGTAGTGATGGTAAAGAATACCAATACGTTTTGAAAGGTCATGAAGATATTAGACAGGATAATTTGGTTATGCAATTGTTTGGTTTGGTCAACACATTGTTGGTAAACGACCCAGAATGTTTCAAAAGACACTTAGATATTCAACAGTACCCAGCGATCCCATTATCACCTAAGGTGGGTTTATTAGGTTGGGTTCCTAACAGTGATACCTTCCACGTCTTAATAAGAGAGTACCGTGAGTCGCGTAAGATTTTATTAAATATTGAACATCGTATAATGTTGCAGATGGCCCCAGATTATGATAGTCTTACATTATTGCAAAAAGTGGAGGTATTCACCGGGGCTTTAGATAATACCAGAGGTCAAGATTTATATAAGGTTTTATGGCTAAAATCAAAGTCTTCGGAAGCTTGGTTAGACCGTCGTACCACATACACACGCTCTTTGGCAGTAATGTCTATGGTTGGCTACATTTTAGGTTTAGGTGATCGTCATCCTTCTAATTTGATGCTTAATAGGATAACGGGTAAAGTTATCCATATTGATTTCGGTGATTGTTTTGAGGCTGCTATATTACGTGAAAAGTACCCCGAAAAAGTGCCATTCAGATTGACAAGAATGCTTAATTATGCCATGGAAGTAAGTGGTATTGAAGGATCATTCCGTATAACATGTGAACACGTTATGAGAGTTTTAAGAGACAATAAGGAATCATTAATGGCAATTTTGGAAGCATTTGCGTATGATCCTTTGATTAACTGGGGATTTGACTTCCCGACAAAAGCAGTAGCGGAAGCCACTGGTATTAGGGTACCACAAGTCAATACTGCTGAGCTATTAAGAAGAGAAGAAATAGATGAACAGGAAGCAGCTAGATTGACTAAACAGAACGAGATTGAAATTAGAAACGCAAGAGCTGCATTGGTGTTGAAGAGAATTACTGATAAGTTGACTGGTAATGATATTAAAAGATTGAATGATTTGGATGTACCAACTCAGGTGGACAAATTAATTCAACAAGCTACAAGTGTAGAAAATTTATGTCAGCATTATATTGGATGGTGCTCATTTTGGTAGTTATACAAACCCGTGTACATTATAGCATTAATACTAAAAGTTATGTATTTTTCTTTCCTAAGTATGCAGAATAAGTTTATATTAAATTTTAACTGTCTATATTACAAATTTTATAGAAGTAAGATTATGCTATCTTTTTAGAAGCACTGGTGAATCCAATACCCTTAAGTGAAAGCGTCATGTAGTCTTCTTCACCAGGAACTGGCTCGTCAGCACCATCTTTCAAAAATGCTTCTGTTCCAAATACGTTCTTGATATCACGCAATGCCCAAACAAAATTGTCATCAATTTGCTTCTTATGCAACTTTAATCTTCCAACATCTTCCTTTCCAATGGTCATGTAACACAAACTTAACATAATTTGATTCCTCCCAATAACACAACTCTTGGTTAATTCATCGAGTAATTCGTATGCAACTCTTTCTCCTAAGTCTTCAGGAAGCGTCCCCGATGAACCAACACCTTCAGCTAAGATTCTCCATCCCTTTTTCAGCTCGGCAACTAAAGTAACACCAAACCCAGGCGACTTACCAGAATTGTCCCCTCTCCATGCATCGGCTGTTATATTCACTTCTACTCCAGTAGGTCTCAAAATGTTTCTCGCACTGTCAATGATTCTGTTGACCGTTGACGGAGACACACGGGTGCAATAAGCAACACCTCTGATTGCAGATATCTTTGGAGATTCAAGCGCATGCATAGTCAATGGTTGCGGAATTAAGGAGTTACACATAAAGTGGACTTCACCTCCACCCAATGGCGGAGAGCCTCGCTTCAAAATGTGCAATGATACTTCTCTCACTCCAAACTTCTCCATCAAGGGCAAAAGTCCCCATTTGATTGCCTCTATACCCGCATCCTTAGTTCTGTCTGAAGCAGTCAACCCCTTGAATACAACAGAAAACTTCTTCTTTGAAAATGGTGCAAGATACAACATAGGTTCCAAGTAGTATCCTATTGGCTTAGTGGTTGGGCAGTTGTGGGTAACTTGTCCCCCTATGATTATACCTGGTTTATAGATAACTGTAGTACCCGTGTAGGAAATTTCAATTTGGGATCCATTTGTAACAGATTCTAATAGCCTGAGGAATGATACCTCGTAATCCTTTAGACCTGGATTCATGTCATCGGACCTGATCTTCGTTATTTTAATGGGTTTACCTGCTAACGTAGCAAGGATCAAGCGGAACCTGAGATTACGATGACCCTCGAATGTAGAAACATTGGCTTTAATGCTAGACATCTTCAATGTGCTTATTATCTTGATATATAACTAAATTTCTTATAAAATACGTCTAACAGTATGGCCATAATGCAACCAAAATGAATTTTTTTATGAAAAATCATCGCTCGATCACGTGATCTTCCAGATGACATTTATCGAACTTCGCACGTCCGGTAAGTGTAATTGAATGATAATAACAGTACAGGCAATAATAGCTTACTAGACAAGGACATCATAAAGAGATATATTATCAAGGATGTCGGATGTATCAGGTGGAGAACTGCTGTCGCATAAAAGAAGCGTGGATTCGGCGGTGAATGAGAACGATGACATGCAAAATAAGAGACAAAAGACAGAGGAGTTGGGCGGCCATGATGACCAATTTAACGCAATTTTCAACGACCCACTTCCTGAATTTGGTGGCAATGAGAGCAATTCAACTCCATATAACGATAATGGCCAAGAGGGTGAATTAGGGGCTGAAAATTTCGATGCTACTTTGCCAAAGGAAGGCGACCCGTTAGACATAGACTTTGACAATTTACCAACGAACTTTTTGGATTCTGAACTGGTGGCAGGCGCAAATAATGGATCACAGGTGGGCACCCCGAATGGATCTGGGTCGGTGCCGAATATTTCTGCTACTACCAATTCAGCAAGCATGTCGGCATCTCCGAATAACACGCCAAGGCCTACACCACTTTCCAAGACCAATAGTAGATCAGAAACACCGGTAGGTGGCACCTCGAGACCTACATACGATGGAACGAATTTAAAACAAGAATTTGGTGCTAATAATTTAGTGAACAAACAGGACATTTTGAATCGTTACTCGCAAATGCCATCCACCAATCGTATGAACCACCTTACCCCTCAACCCCAAGGAATACAGGGGTTGAATACGTCCAATATTGATAGAATTCCAAGCGCGAGTACTAGTAATAAAGAGCAATTGCATACCAATGATCCGTCCAAATTAAATGACGCATTGGCGGCCGCCGGGGTCGATATTCAACACGAAGAAGAATTGTTGATGCAACAACATTTAAACAGAACATCTAGGTTTCCATCAGCACAACAGGCCCCTAGGCAGAGGTTCGCACAAACGTCATTATTCAATCCATATCATGTGGCAGCATTCATGCAAAGAGTAGCCAGAGAAAATGGCGTTATGCAAAATTTTTACCAGGATGCAGAACTTCTTGAATTAATGTCAGCTTCTTGTGAGAATTGGTTATCCAATATACTCACCAAAACCATAATATTATCTCGTCATCGTAGGAGAGGAATACCAACAATTACAAACACCAATAAGAATAAAAAGTCTGCATCAAATTCAGCTTCCACGTCCAATCCTGCTCTGAGATCTGAGCTTTCTAAAGAACTCAGAAATCTTGCTGCCAAACAGAAAGAAATGGAAGAAAGAAGAGTTTCAAAACGTATGGCTCTAGGCCTAGAAAATAATGGTGCTGATCCTGCCAACGGAGACGCAGCAAATGGGAAGGCTGGTGCCGAGGAAACGTTACATAGAGCTGCCAATGCTACTGCTGCCATGATGACAATGAACCCTGGCCGTAAGAAGTATTCTTGGATGACTGCCAATGCTGGATCAGGTGGCGGTGATGATGGTAAGGCTGCAACTGAGAAAGATGGCAAAAACAAACAAAGTTCTATCATTGCTGTTAGAGGTGATAACGGGTTACGTTTCCGTGAAATAAGGTCCGGTAATTCCGTTACGATGAAAGACCTTTTAGGTGCATTAGAGGACGAAAGAATGGGAACAGAAAAAGCAGTCTTGAAAGGATATGCTAAGTTAAAAGATTAGCATTTTTGTTATATATACTTGTAATATATCTATCCACTTCATTTGTGGTAATAAATCATTTCGTTCTTCTCTGTACTGATGTAATTTGCTTTGAGCATCAAAATTTGTCTACGCGCACTTGATCTGAGATACTAAAAATGTAAACATAACATCAAAACATAGATTCTAGAAAAAACCATAGGCAAGTAATAGATAGATATAGGAAATAAACATTCAACCTATCATGGAGTTTAACTTGTCTACTTACTTCAATAGTTTTGATGTGGAAAAAGACTATTCCATTGACATATCAGACATTGATTCCAAATTAGAATCAGTTACAAATTCTTTAGCCAACAATCCAGAATCTATAAATTTTAACTCAGAGCTCCTAGAAGACTTGATAGAACTTACACATGGATACAAGACACTTGATTTGAAGCATCAGAAGCAATTAGCCTATTTAATAACATCGTCTCTTAGTACGATTAGCCATCAATGCTCGAACAGTATTGAAAGTGGGGATTTTGTTGATTCGATCGATACTTTCAAGGCGTGTTTAGAAAAATTTGGATACTTATTATTTGTGCTATTGATATATCTAGGTAAAGAAGACCATGGACAAGCACATTTGAGTGGGTCAAAATCGAAGAGCTCTTCTGGGTCTCAAGCTATGACTAAATGGAAAGCAAACTGTACTCAAGTCGAAGATGCAGTAGATGTTATAAGCAGCGTTGTCAAGATTGATTTATCCAAAATATTTGTAACCACACCAGAGAAAGACTTGTTCATTGAATTATTTACAAGGCCCATGTTTCACTTGATGGAAGTACCGGAGAGAATGAAAGTGAATTCAATCAAAATGCTCATGTTTAAGAGTATTGCAATTTTAGTAAAATTCCATGGCCACGCAAGTGTTATTCAAAATTCTGTATTGCAATCTCTTATGTACTATACCCATTTGCCAGGTTATATGGCGGAGTTGCTACATATTTTGGATCAACAGTATGACTATAATGTGTTAACTGAAGAGGTTCTTCGTGAAATCTCTCAGATTGAGTTCAATTCCAATGATAGTAATGGTCCTAAATCTATATCTGAATTCTTGATTAAATTATCTGAGCTGAGTCCAAGGCTAATTTTAAAACAAATGTCATGTATTGCTCAATTATTGGATAATAGTAACCAAACCTTAAGATGTTCAGTTGTCGAAACATGCGGTAATATTGTAGTAGATATCATCAAGAATCAAGAAGTCATAGGTGAATCTTCAGAAAGAAATGATAGTCATAACAGTAATCAACAGATAGACGGTCTCTTAGATTTACTTCAAGAAAGATTTTTAGATCAAAACCCGTATGTCAGAACCAAAGCTATACAAGCATTAACTAAAATATGCAATTTGCCTGTTAAATTCACAGCAAGAAGGCAACAAATCGTTGCATTATCGGTTAGGTCACTTGATGATAAGAGTACTTTAGTCAGAAGGAACTCTATCAAATTAATGTCCAAACTAGTATTAACTCATCCGTTCTCTGCTGTCCATGGTACGCAGCTTTCTTATGAGTTCTGGAAATCTAAGTTAGATGAAGCTGAAGCCGAATTAGAGAAATACATTCCAGTTGCACCAGAAAAGAATAAGAGACTAAATAAGATTTCAGAAGATGAAGAAGATGAAGACAACGCTGATAAAATGGAAATAGACGAAAAGGAAGACGATGATAAAGAAAACGATGTAAATAACAAAGGCAAAAATGAGGATGCCAACGAGAGCGAATCGAGTATTGATCATGATGAGTTAAATGCTTCTATGATGGAACAAGAGCAGAACTTACCAGATACAAATGTTCTAGTTAAAGTGAAGCTTACTGTCCAATATTATCAAGATGCTGTCGAATTTATTGAAATTTTACAAACTGGGACCAATATTGTTTCGAGATTACTTTTTCGAAAATAGAAACGAAGTCTTGGAGTCGATGGATTTCTTAGTTCTTGCAGATGCTTATGATATTCAGAATGCTGGTCTAGGTATTCGTCGAATGCTTCACTTGGTGTGGATGAAAGGTTCATCAGATGAAGGTAAGTCGATTTCATCTCATTTAGTAGACTGTTATAAGGACTTATTCTTAGTTGCTCCTTCTGAATATTCAGTTCCTCAGCAAGCTGCGCATATTGCAAAGAATTTAATTGAATTGACTTTTGCGGCATCGGTGGCTGATTTAGCTTCCTTGGAAAAGTTACTTTGTTTCATGTACGAAGAAAAATTAATAAGTCAAGAAGTTATCAACGTCCTTTGGCAAATATACAGCTTCGCAGATCAAAACTCTTCTGAGAGCGACAATCTTAAATTTTCAAAAAGGCAATGCCGTGGAGCCATCATAATTTTGGGGATGCTAGCATTGGCAGATCATGAAATTGTCCTCAGAGGTTTAGATGCCTTACTAAATATTGGTTTAGGAGATAAAGGAAGAAATGACTTGGTTTTATCGAGGTATTCATGTATTGCATTGCAAAGAATAGTGCCACATGTATCTAAGAACAAAGAAATAGTTTCATTCAAAATTGCAAGAGAAGATGAAGCCATCGAAAAGTTGAAAGAAGTACTTCTATCATACAGTGATAATCCAGAATGGTATAGTGTGGCTGAACAAGCAATTGGCGCTGTCTATCAAGCATCAAGCAAGCCAGATGAAGTTTGCTCCAGCATAATTAAGGAGAAATGCATTCTGGTCTTTGGTGATAAAATTGAAAATGAATCAAAGGTTACTGCGTTATCTCAACTTCTCTTTATAGTGGGACATGTTGCAATAAAGACTATTGTACATTTAGAAAAGCTAGAGACTCAATTTAAAAAGAAGAAGCATGAGGCTGAAAGCTCGAAGAATAAGGAATCTGAAAATAATGATAATGAGAATAATGACAATGAATTGGAAATGATTGGTGGTACTTCAGAAGATGACTTCACTGATGCTGTGATTTACATTAAAGAAAGAGAACTTTTATATGGCGAAGGTGCCTTACTTTCAAAATTCGGGCCTTTAGTTCGAGAAATTTGCCTGAATAATAAAAGGTATGATAATGAATCATTACAAAGATCAGCGGTATTGTGCATGGCCAAACTCATGTGCATTTCTTCCAAGTATTGTGAGGATAACTTACCGTTATTAATTACTATAATGGAAAAATCTCCGGACCCAATCATCAGATGTAACTGTGTCTTGGGTTTGGGCGATATGGCGGTGTGTTTTAACAATTTAGTTGATGAAAATACCGATTTCTTGTATCGTCGTCTTACTGATAGCAATATTATGGTACAACGAACATGTCTTATGACTGTCACTTTCTTAATCTTAGCGGGACAAGTTAAAGTTAAGGGACAATTATCCTCTATGGCCAAATGTCTAGAAAATCCTGATCAAGGTATCAGTGACATGTGCCGTCTTTTCTTTACCGAGTTGGCAACTAAAGATAATGCCATCTACAACGGTTTTATCGATATTTTCAGCGGTTTATCGAACGACGATAGCCTTTCTAAGGATGCTATGAAACGTATTGTTAAGTTTTTAGTTGGCTTCATAGAAAAAGAGAAACACCAAAAGCAATTGGCAGATAAATTATTAGTTAGATTATTAAAATGCCAAAATGAAGCTCAATGGAATGATATTGCATTTGTGTTGAACTCCATTCCTTATAAAAATGAAAGTATTAGTCAAGCTCTTGAAGGTGGCTACACTTTGGTCCTGGCGAGACAGTAACTTTTATTCTCTATATTATACTTATATAGTAATGGCATATTTTTAAATCATCTCCGCACATGCAAAACAAAAAAAAAATGTAACGAGTTTATAAATTCCACACATATTAAGCGGTATTCTTGTCTAGTTTCAAACTATATTGCTTAACTTATTGGAGCGGTAAAGATGATATCGCAGTACCTCCAAAGCTATATTACACAGTTTCTGGAAGTGACGGGTTTGGCTGATTCACAATTGAAAATCTTGCTATGCACATTGCTCTCGTTTCCATTTAGCGTTATCTTCAAAAGGTTACCAGATCACAATTATGCTTTGAAAAATGCATATAACATTTCAGTTTCTGCATTTTATATTTTCGGTATATTAGAATTGTATTCTGGATTGCAAACTTTGTTAATTTCATCGTTGGGATGTTACTTTATTACCAGGTATGTGAGAACATCATCAATGCCGTGGATCAATTTCCTCTTTTTGATGGTACACTTAGCGTACAGTCATTTCCATGAGCAATTCTTTCAGGTGTATGATCCTACTAAAATTGATATAACAGGTGCTCAAATGGTGTTGGTTATGAAATTGTCTGCATTTGGCTGGAACGTATATGATGCTAAGCAACCTAAAGAAACATTAACTTCATTTACTAAAGAGCGTCTAATTAAAAAGCACCCAAATTTACTATCATACTTCGGTTATGTTTTCTTCTATGCTTCATTGTTAACTGGGCCAGCGTTTGATTTTGCTGATTATGACAAATTTATTCACTCCACTTTATTCGATGATGTACCAGATTCGAAACGTCCAGGGAAGAGACATAAGCGTAGAATCCCAAGAAGTGGTATCCCAGCACTTAAGAAGACTCTACAAGGTGCTTTTTGGGCAGTAATTTTACTTTTCTTGGGCAAGTATGTGAGCCTTGACTACGTATTAGACGGTAACTTTGTTAAAGAACATGGATTCATATACCGTATATTTTATTTGTGGGTTTTAGGATTTAACCATAGGTTACCCTATTATACTATTTGGTTAATTGCTGAAGGTGCATGCATTCAATGTGGTATAGGCTATAATGGATATGATTCTGTGACTGATTCATTCAAGTGGAATCGTGTACAAAATATAGATCCATATAAATTTGAAACAGGCCAAAATTGCCATGTATGCTTAGAGTCATGGAATATGAATACTAATAAATGGTTAAAGCATTATGTTCATAAAAGAATCGCAAAGAAAGGCAAGAAGCCTGGCTTTAAAAGCACCCTTTTTACCTTTTTAACAAGTGCCTTTTGGCATGGAACCAGACCAGGGTATTATCTAACCTTTGTTATGGGAGCATTCTTACAGACAATAGGTAAAATTTACCGTCGCAACTTCCGTCCTATGTTCCTTCAATCAGATGGTGCCACTCCTAAACCCACCAAAAAGATATATGACTTGGTGTGTTACATTTGTACACAATTAGCATTCGGCTTTATTGTTCAACCTTTTATGATTTTGGACTTCAAGCAATCACTTTACTGTTGGCTGACTGTCCACTTTTATGTCCAAATTGCTACTTTCATAACTATATTTGCATTTAAGGGACCTTACAGCAAATCCATCATTGCGTGGTGTATGTCTCGTCACGATTCAATCAAGAAAGATGAGAAGTTTATTCGTCCTGAACTTAAGTTATCTCAAGAAGAAACAGCTAAAGCTAAAGACGTCGTATATACGATTTTAGAGAAGAGAGATGATAGATTGAGAAGCCCTGCATTAGGATTACCGCCTATTGATATCTTGGAATCTATAGACCAAGAGGATATAGATGAAGATTTGAAAGAATTAAGCGAAGTATGGACTTCATTTAGAGGACGCCTTTCAAATCTTAAAGATGATGATTTCGATGGCTTGAAAGATGCATACAGTAATTTCACCAACGAGATTAATGAAATTTTCCATGTCAAGAAAGAGGACTTGTTATCCAAGAAGCAACCCTAATGATTTGAAGTCATGCATGGGCTTTTTTAAACCATAATATGTAAATCGCCTCATTCTGTTTCCTCGTTCCGTGTATTTTGTGTAATTCTTCTCCATTATGATAGTTTCCAATATTTCACATGAATTCATTCTACAACTTTTCTTACTTGGAAAATCATACATAAGATACCTAGAATCTGTATATACTTTAAGAATACTATCTTACGATGTTATTAAGATCACGTAGGATTAGCGTTCTTCGAAAATCAAGTAATTGGTTCAGATGTTCTCTTTCTACTAATGGTGGCACAAGATCACCTACAGGAATTGTGTTCATGAATATGGGAGGTCCTTCAAAAACTAAAGACACATATGACTTTTTATTCAGATTATTTTCTGACCAGGATTTGATTCCGCTAGGATACTTTCAAAAAATTCTAGCTAAATTTATTGCAAAACGTCGTACGCCATCTATTGAAAAGAATTATGATGATATTGGTGGTGGATCACCAATTAGATATTGGTCTGAATATCAATGTAAGAAGGTATGTGAGATATTGGATAAATCGAACCCGGAGACAGCTCCTCATAAACCATACGTGGCATTCCGTTATGCCGACCCATTGACTGAACATACATTGAAGGAAATGATGAATGATGGCGTTAAGAGAGCTGTTGCTTTCTCTCAATACCCACAGTTCTCGTATTCAACTTCAGGATCTTCTATGAATGAATTATACAGAAAGACTTTGGAACTTGATAGCAATCGCTCAATTAATTGGTCTTTTATTGACAGGTGGCCAAAACATAAAGGCTTCATTAATGCTTTCAGCAAGCATATAAATGACAAATTGCAAGAGTTTCCTGAGCAAGATAGAGATAAAGTTATAATTATGTTTTCAGCTCACTCTTTACCAATGGAAATTGTCAACAGGGGAGACTCGTATCCAGCTGAAGTTGCAAGCACTGTTTATGCAATTATGGAAAATCTTAAATTCAAGAATCCGTATCGTTTAGTATGGCAATCCCAAGTAGGTCCAAAACCGTGGTTGGGAGGTCAAACTGCTAAGATTGTTGAAAAATTAGAGAAGAATGAAGATGTCAAAGGGATAGTATTGGTCCCTGTTGCGTTTACCTCTGACCATATTGAAACATTACACGAATTAGATATTGAATTAAAAGAGGAATGTAAAAATCCAGAAAAGGTTAAAAGGGCTGAATCTTTGAACGGTAACGAAGAATTTATCGAAGGACTTGCCGATTTAGTACAAGAACATTTAAAGTCGGGTCAAATATATTCGAATCAATTAGAATTGGATTGTATATTAGGAGGGGAAAACGCAACTGGTACATTCAAACACCCAAGTGAGTTGTTCGGAGATCATTCCAAGTCACAATGACTTATATCTTATAAATATATATCAAATACATAATATGCACAGAAATGGTACATTAGTCTGAAAAATCTTCCTCGTCAGGATCGAACAAGTCTAAATCTAGAGCACCATGGCCTTCCTGTTTTTTCGGTTCACCCGTGTGTTCTACAAAAGAACCTCTACGTTCTGCAGCTGGTGAATTGGTTCTACTTTCAACTTTACTGTCTTCTGTCTTCTTTACAGCTTCTTCTTTCACTTCCACTGAGTCTTCTCCTAACTCTGCTTTGATGATATCATCTACTCTGATTGAACTCATAGCCAACATACCTCTTCGCAAAGCATCTTCTGCAGGCCATACGTAATTATTAGGGTGTATTTGAAAGGGTAAATTCGCAACTGTAGGTGGTGCTTTGGTAAATTTAGAAAGCTTCAGTGCATATTTTAAAACCTCATTTACATCGACTTTACTATCATTCGGAGATGGAAATATTGAAGATTTATTTTTATTCGAAGGTAATCGTGGCAACTTTTTTAAGTCATTTCGATATGATATTAATTCTTTCAATATGATTTTAGAACTATTATCTAAATGAGCTTGCTTGTCTTTAAGACTTTTAATGTTTGTGCCTAGATCTCGGTGTTTTTCTAATTCTCCTATCTCGGAGCATATAACATCATTCAACTCGATCAAATTGCCGATCAACAGAGCTAACTCATCTTCCTTAAAAGAAGAAACTTTAAAGGAAAGGTTTGTTAAATTTTGTTCGAATTCGTTTACTTTCTCAACTATAGATAATTTCTCAAACACATCCCTATCTTCTTTCGTTATTATTTGATTGGATGTTTCTGGTCCTGTTGATATTCCTTTCGTAGGATTCAACGAGGAGGAAACATATGCATTGGGTGTAGACGGAATGGAATTATAAGAATTGGGGCTACCATTAGTAACACCATGAGATGCCAATTGATTTAGTCTTTGTGTAGAGCCCACCCGAGAAACTGGAACTGATAGGAATGATGAATCGTTTTTCCTGTGTGGTATCATATCTTTGGACTATAATAATTTTAATGATTAAGCATTAGAATTGTAGTACGATCTTAATATATATTTTGGTTCCATAGTGTCACAAAATTGGCAGTATAAAATGTCTTTTACCTGAATAATAAAATTTAGAATGATTAAGAGGAAGGCAAACGTCTTTGGTAGCTCTTCTGATTCTGATTCTGATTCTGAATACCATAAATCTGTGAATACTAAGCGCAAGAAAATACCACCTATCTTCGATGCAATAAAAAATAGTGATAGTCATAAACATGGGTGTGAAACTGAACAGGATGGAGAAGAGGATTATATGAAGTATTCAGCGAAGAATGATGGGAAAGACGGTGATGATGAACCTAACCCGAGAAGGTTTGAAGGAATGAAATATGATGAAGTTCAACAGTTCAAACGGGAAGAAGCTTTAAAGCAGTCATTATTCACTGATAAATTTGCAAAAAAGTCGATTGGTCTCAGTATCATGGAAAAGATGGGATTCAAGGTTGGAGACTCGTTGGGTAGTAGTAAAATGGATAAGAGGGTATTGACAAAACCTATAGATGTACAGATCAAAACAAATAGGTTAGGAGTAGGAGCATCCAATAAAAATAATCAATTGGAACCGCAAGCCAAAGTAGATGTCCTGGAGTATAGAGAGCGTATTCAAAAATCAAAAGAAAATAGTAAGATTGGATTAATAACGAATAAGGCCATGAAGCTTTGCTTCGAATTGAGCGGGGATTCTGAAGAGTATTACAACGATAAAGAAATTTTCAAACCTCAAGAAGTCAACATACTCTGGAGGCCCTATGTAATAGATATGATAGAAAAGGATCTGGCTAAGATGTTTAAACAAAAAGTTATAAGAATAGATGAAGATAAAGAGTCTGTATCCGGACAACCGGCAACTTCGAATAAAGAAGAAACTGATAAAGAATATGAGCTATATCTACTTTCTGAACCCTTGGATAAACTAGAGAAACTATTAAACTATATGAGGGATAATTATAATTATTGTTTTTACTGTGGGTTCACATATAAGAATCAGGGAGACTTAATTGAAAATTGTCCAGGTGTGTACGAAGAAGATCATTTAGATCTATAATATTTTATTAGATGCACATGTTTATATATATATTTATTCGATTAAAATGCTGCGGAATCAAGTAGTTCATCTCTCTGTAATTTGCCACTAACATATATATCATTGAGTTTATTCGTAGAGATTGGTTCGCTCTCTTCTAGTATATTCTGGCGAACTTCAAGAGCTTGTTCCTTGGACAATTTATCGAATCTTATATTATGTTGAGAAAATAATCCATAATGTAAAGGAGCAGGCGATGCTTTGTTGTATGTCTTTGAATCATTTGGCATAAAATTGATCTTGGACAGTTCTGCATCGTCACTCTTACCCCAATTTACTACTATTCTGCAATCATTAACTATACTTCCATGCATAAATAATAAAGCAGTTTCAGCAGACGATCGGAGAAAGTATTTTATAATACCGGAATTGAAATCTGACGCTAATTTACAATACACGATGTTTCCAAAGGCTATGAAATGTAAGCATAATTCGTATTCGCTAAATTTTGATGACAATCCTTTTATTATTATAGTGGTATTATCTGGATCTGTGTGCGCGTTCAATGTTGGTTGTGATTGAACTATCTGGATATTGGACGGGACCGGTGTTTCAGTTTTAGACGTTAAATCCTGTCCCACCGCGTTGTTACTGCTACCTGCCGCCATACCAACCCGTATTGGTCTGTTTCCTGCAATAGCACCATTCATTTCATTCAAAGCTTTTTGTTGTGTAAAACTGGTGTTGAATCGAACAAATCCAAATCCCTTCGATAACTTGGTAACAGGATCAAACATGATTTTTGCCTGTTTAACTTGGTTAGGGTAAACTTTATTGAAACATTCAAATAGCATTGGCTCTGTTACATCAGATCCTAAGTCTCCTACAAAAATCGAATAATCGATGTGCGGCTTGCCCGCTGATTTGAAGCTATTTTCCTGAGGAGCTGAAGATCCACCACTTGCCCAGTTCAATTTGAAAACTTTTGTAGATCCTGGTATTTGTAGGCCATTCTTCAAAACTGCGGTTGAAACCGCTTTCTGGTTCGCAAAAGATACAAAGCAATAGCCAGCATTAGTCTTAGAGTTGGTAGAATCAAATTTATCTCTAATTATCTTGACTGCCACAGGAGTCTCTCCAAATGCGGACCATATCTTCTTTATAGCATTTTCATCCCACGATGGATCTAAATCGCCCATCCATAATTGGTTTTGGTTTTCCGATGAGTAATTACCCTGATCATACGAGTTCTGATAGTTATTTCTAGGTGGATAATCTTGATAATTGTTACTCCTGTTGTATGGCTTCCTTTGTTGTACTTGTGATTGGTATTGATTGGTGTTATATTTATTGTAATTAGCGTATCCGCCACTACTATAGCGGTTTCCACCGCCGTTATTATACTGGCGATAATCTCGCTGAGACTGGTATGATGAACCTCCACCTCTTGACCTATATCCTCCACCTGAATTATAATGTGACATTTGCTATAACTCTACCGATGGTTAATGTTGTGTGATATATCATATTTTTAATAGATGTGTTTTGTTATATGCAGGACCTAAAAGAAGTATATAATTACAGCTTATCATTATATCTCCTACTGGCATAATATTTTGGATTCATAAATTTGCTTTAGTTGGAGGTGACGTTTTGAAATCCATTCATGTTTCATACATTCTTTGATATTATATCTTTTAATGGGTTCTACTTCCACTAATTTTTTAATGAAATCTTTTGCGGCAGGACTTACATTTCGCCATTGATGTTGTTCAAAATTAAGTTTACCCAATTTAGCACTCTTTACCATGCCTATTTCATCCCCATCGCTGTAAAATGGTGAAATACCAGAAAGCATAATATGAATCATAACGCCGAGTGACCAAGTGTCACATTTATAGTCGTATCCCTCACCTTTAAGCCATGTTTTTGCGAATGAGTGTATGTTATTAGATTCATGTAGTCTCTTATCAAGCGTAAATATCTCCGGTGCACTGTATTCGACAGTACCAACTATTGTCTTTGTTCGTTGATTTAAGCGTTGTAATGATTTAGCAATACCAAAGTCGCAAAGGATAATTTTTGTACAGGGTATTGGAGCTTTAAGCAAAACATTATCCAATTTCAAATCTCGATGAATTACCTGAAGATGATTGTGCAAATAGTCTAAGGCTTGTAATAGTTGGAACACTATAAGAATTACCTCGTTTTCGGGAATTGCCTTAAGGCAATTTCCTTTTATAAGATAAGAAAATAAGTCTCCTCCACAAATCAAGTCTTCAAATATGTAGATATGATCATCAAGTAAAATGGTATCATGGACTTTAATAATATTTGGCTATGTTATTAGTTTTAGTTCAAAATAGAAACTAGACTTGTAAAAAATGTTATGGTACGTACGTGGTCTATTTGCAGTAATATTTCTGCTTCATTTTTAAACCGCTCCTGTCGCAAGGGCAGATTCTTCGAATTGCTCAACCCCTTTATTACTTTAACTGCAAAGTTGATCTTCTCATTCTTGTACTTCGCCACATAAACTGAGCCGAAAGAGCCTGAGCCCAAGATCCTGCTGCTTATAGTCCAATCCTTAATTGTACTTTCTCTTCTAGCAGGTTGCAGATATTGCGAACATTCAAAATCTCGAAACAGAAAGACTGCTACACATCTCACTTCAATGATATCTCCATCGTAGAGAAGAACTGTCAGGTTTCGCCCTATGGTCTGACCATTCACCAACATTCCATTGAGCGATAAATCACGTAAGTACACTAATGGTGCACTATCAGCATCGAACTTTATTCCCCAGATCATGAAGTGCACCAGTGATACAGTTGAATGTTGGAGAATCATTCTACAGGCCTTCTCTGCTCTTCCACCGGTAAGCATTTCTCCAATGCGTATAGGTATCAAACATCTATCGTCATCAATCTTCTCATTTCTTTTGTTTCTAGTAGACTCTTCTATAGGCTTAATTTCGCTTATGATCTCTTTAGTCTTATTCATAAATGCATTTACTTCTATATTTATTGAACTGCTTTCATATTTTGCCATAGAATACGATGTACTTTCTGGCGCTAGACTTCCACAGAATATTATACTCTTGTTATCTTCCACAAAGGAGTTTCTTAAATCTTCTTGTATGCTAACTAATTCTAAAGCTCCAGTTATATCTTCCATTTCTCTTATATTTTGGTTGTTTATATCCTTATTTCCACTGTTTCAAGAAGACATGATTATAATAGTTAGCGGTTAGCTTAGCTTTTTGGCAGCCAAAAATATACAAATGTCGTTTAATTAAAATGTCGGGACGACTTTTTGTGTGACGTGTGTTTACCGATGTAATCCTCATAAATTTCACTTCTGATTGGTATAAACGACTAGTAGAAGAGATATCTAGTTAAGTATACAAGCATCGTTTTGTTGATCATACTATATATTGAAGATGTTTTCGAGAATTGTGAAAAACAATGGGTCCTTAATGTCCAAGAGATTCCAATCGCAAGCTACAACTAGTGCTTCCACCAAGTCTGCTTTCAATAACAAATATAACTTCAACATAAACCCACCTCCAGTGCACACTTACTGGACGATGCGTAACAGTTCCGTTCTTCTTGCTTTTATTCCATTATACTTGGTTGTTGGATATGCCATCAAATACACCTCTTCAGGTCTTAGTGGCTACGAAGGATTGTATGCGTTTGCCGATTCAGAAAAGTCGCCTATGAAGGAGCTCAAGTTCGGTGAAGCTCAAGCATCCAAGAATTAAGCAATACGATCGCATATTACATACATGTCCACCTGGATGTGTCTACATGTTAAGACGTGGGATAGCTAGACATGATGCTTCAGCATCGCATGTCCCACATACCATAACAACATTTTTTCAGGACTTCAGGATTTACTACTTCTAGAACTCCATGTTTCCGATAATAGGACTTCCAATACACGATAGATAATTCCTCCCCTTGTAGCCATCATACAACATATGGGACCAATATATTAGCTTCATCTATATTGCTTATGTAATAGATTATGTAATTAATAATCCTGGTGGATTTTTTCTCGTTCGTTTCATTGGTTCACAACAAAGAACCATTAAACAGTTCTATTTAGTATAACAACTTTATTGCAAAGCAGGCTAATAAGACTACGAAAATGCTCTCTAGAATCGGTTTAAATGCCTCCAGATGCATTTCCCGCAGAAGTGTCAGATGCTTGACTACAAAGAACACAATCACTGACCATAGCACTGGCAGAGTTATCAAGTTGACTGACCCAAGTCGTCCAGAAATAGCAGACTACGATAATGTCAAGCCAGTTTTAGCACAAGACAAAGACCCATATGTTAAGTATGATGACCAACAAAATAGAAGAAACATCAATGACCCATTAAATATTGAAGAAGATTACTATGATATTTGGTCTCCAGACTATTTCCAATTTGTATCCGACAAGACTGCTCTCAAGCATAACGGTATATTTTTTTCACTCATCATTGGGTTTGGTACTGCTATATGGTACTTTGAATTAAACCCTGCCAAGCCAGCCATGCCTAGATCATATCCATTTGGTGGTTTGGCAAAGGATTTGGGTGCTGGTAGTAAAGAAGATGAATATTTCTACAGAGTTAAGCCAGACACCACTGCTGAAGAGGAGCTTGGATTCTTAGCTAATGACAACCAAATCCAGGAAAACAAGAAGGCTTATGAACAAGCTAACGCAGATTTTCTTAGAGATTAGACTCAATGAACCCTCGTTGAGCAATTGAACTTATAAACTTTGGTCGTACCCCATTAATGCTGATGTAATTATACTTATACATCCCTGGTATTTACATTAACGCATATTCTGTTAAATTCGTACTCAACAGATGTTTCTCTGATTTTGGTTATCATTATTAGTTTACCGCATAATCCATCAACTACATATGCTAGCCATTCCACTTTTCAATGGTTACCCTATATATTTGATACATTTGAATCATACATTGTTAGTTATTTGTATTGTAGAGATACTATTGTAGAGATTATTTCACTATATCGAAAATTATCACGTGATGTAAAATAAAATAATAATCTACGAATTCATCATAACATATATGAATCTGAATAGATTTGATAAAGTTCGTCAATATATTATAAGGTATCTTTCGTGTTAAAGGATAACCAATCGAGTCTTATAAACAATTATCGCATACTGCTTTGTCTAATAAAAAATGGCAAGAGGCGGAAATCGTCGAAGAAATAATTCAGTTATTTCTACTAAGAAACTAGAACCTTCTAATGAACTGGCAAAGGTTCTTGAAGTACCTCAGAAAAGAAAGCAAAAGGCAGAAATACCCAGTACTAATGGGAATGGTGTGATGAAGAATGATGTTAAGAAGCGCAAACTAGATAATGAACTCGATGAATCACAAGAGCATTTGGCACAGTTAATAACAGACTTCAATTTATCTGTGAACGAATTATTTCAACTTAAAGAATATAAAACAATAGCATATTGGAATCCGGATGATTTTTCTCGTGCCTCTTCGACGTCTCAGATGCCTGAAATATTTGATTTATTCTCGAAAGAACCCAAATATCAGTTAACCTGGGGAGATGATTCTAATGAACAAGACTTGAGTAATATTCCATTGCGACTTCAAAAAAAGATAATAAACGAAAGAGAGCAGAAACTTTTGGAGAAATTTCCTTTTAAAGAGAAAGTATTGAAAAGAAGTAGAGATCTTGAAATTGAATTGTTACAAAGTATTAAACACTCAAATAAGGCCCCAGAGAAGGCTCATAAAAAACATGCGCCACCGCTGAAGTCCCTTAAGGTCTTAAAGGAAAGTCAAAAGCCTATTAAGAAGAAGCAAGCTGTAAAACAGGAAGCCGAGAGTACTCAAGATAATCGAGATCAAGAATATACAAGTGATATGGAGGTGGGGACACACTATAAAGTTAAAGCTGTAAAATATTCAATTCCTCCCCCAATAGTAACTCATCCTTCTCATATCCCATCTTGGGTTCCTGATCCAAGTCATAACGAATCATCATTAAATTCTAAGGATAGCGAAATTATAGATTATCACCCAGACCCAATACAATTTATATCAAACTCAACAACAACATATACTAAACCAAACATCCAGACAAAGATTCAAACCTTTCTTGCAAATTATAAGTCTGCAATAATAGATGAAGCTAATTCTGGTGACTTCAATAATACACCACAGGAATATGAGAGGATCATGAGCCAACAAGAACAATTTATAAGGAAGCTATATGAAAAAACATCCATCGAAAAACGTCTTGAACTAAATGGGGATAAAATAGAAAGAAGGAAAACTGTCTTACCACACAGCTCGAATACTAAGCAAGCAGTGGATCCATTCAGATCCCATGGAGCTATTATTCCAAAAACACAAGGTATCACTATTCACTCTACTCATCATGATTACTTCTTGAGTCACGGTATGGCATTTTCAAGAATACATCTGCAAATGCGTAGACAGCATCAGTTAAGAACAAAAAAAATTGCGCAAATGATAGAACAGCATTTCAAGAAGAAGAAGGGTGAAAAGGAAAGATTAGCAAAGGAAAAAGAACAGAATCTTAAAAGAATTAGTAAAATGGCAGTTCAAGCAGTCAAGAAGAGATGGATTCAAGCTAGTAAAGTATATCGTTTCTTACAATTACAGAAAGAAGAAGAATTGAAAAAAATAAAAGGCAGAGAGCACTTAAGTCAAATGTTGGAACATTCTACACAGTTATTAGAAGCACAATTTAATAAGTCATCTAGAGATATCAGTGAGGTAGATACTGAAAATGAAAATAATGATTCTGAATCTGATGATCACTTAAGTTCCAGCTCAGATGAAAATTCTAATTCGGCTGAAAATACCAGAGATAACGTAAATATGGACGAGAATGATATGCAATTGACTGTTGAAGAACTTAGAGCAAAATATGCAGATATTGACCAGTCTATTGAACCATCGTCAAAAACTGTCTCATCTAATTCTTCCGACAAAGAATCAGATAGTGATGATGAGGATATCGATGTTGATAAGGGCCTTGTTGCATTGTATGGTGACAAACCTGTTCCTTTAAACTCTTCTTCAAACTTAGCTTCTATGGATTACACTAATGAACAAAAGGCTCTAATTGAAAAGTTTTCTAAAGAAGATGAAGGAATTAGTTCGGAATCTGCATCAGATGATAGCTTGGATGATGATTCAAGTAGCGAAAGTGATGAAGACAGTGATATTGATGGCTCCGATCAAAGACACCAGGACACTGCAAAATCCACTGGCTTGGCTGCGCTACTTGGCAATGGGCCTATGGATGACGATGACGAATCCAATGAGGATGTAAGTGCTGAAAGCGATGGAGACATTTCGAGCGATGAAAATATGTCAACAACTGATGAAGAAGATGAGCCAAAAACACCTAAATCTTCTGAAGATGCGAAGATAGATGAGAAAGACAATGAGCTGGACATTGTGGAAGAAGAAATCAACGGCTCGAAAGTAAGGGATGTTCCACTTCCACCATTGTTAAGAGGTACCTTAAGACCGTATCAGAAGCAAGGTTTGAATTGGCTAGCAAGTTTATACAATAATGGTACAAATGGTATCTTGGCCGATGAAATGGGTCTTGGTAAAACTATTCAAACTATATCATTGTTAGCTTATTTGGCTGCAGAGCATCATATTTGGGGGCCCCATTTAATTGTTGTTCCTACATCAGTTATGCTTAACTGGGAAATGGAATTCAAGAAATTTGCTCCTGGTTTTAAAGTTTTAACGTACTATGGATCTCCACAACAAAGAGCTCAAAAAAGAAAAGGGTGGAATAAACCAAATGCGTTTCATGTATGTATCACTTCATATCAATTAGTTGTTCATGATCATCAATCTTTTAAAAGGAGAAGATGGAGATACATGATTTTAGATGAAGCACATAATATCAAAAACTTTAGATCTGCTCGTTGGAGAGCTTTATTGAATTTTAATACTGAAAATAGATTATTATTGACCGGTACTCCATTACAAAACAACCTTATGGAATTGTGGTCTTTATTATACTTTTTAATGCCGTCTTCGAAAGTCAATCAGGCTATGCCTGATGGGTTTGCAAATTTGGAAGATTTTCAAACTTGGTTTGGAAGGCCTGTTGATAAAATATTAGAGAAGACGTCAGATGGGACTAGTTCAGATGTAATTGACGAGAATGATAAAGCTACCCAAAGGATGGATGAAGAAACAAAAAACACTGTAGCCAGGCTACACCAAGTGTTAAGACCTTATTTATTACGGCGTTTAAAAAAAGATGTTGAAAAGCAAATGCCAGGTAAATATGAGCACATTGTCTATTGTCGTCTCTCTAAGAGGCAAAGATACCTATATGATGACTTTATGTCTAGAGCTCAGACCAAAGAAACGTTAGCTTCAGGAAATTTTTTGTCCATCATCAATTGTTTGATGCAGTTGAGAAAAGTCTGTAATCATCCTGATTTATTTGAGGTTCGACCAATAGTTACATCCCTTGCTATGCCCAGATGTGTAGCAAACTCATTTTCATCTACTGATTCGACTGTGAGGAAATACTTAAATGATGATAGTTTCAAGGAGCAGATTTCTTTCAAGACTTTAAATTTGGATATTACAAGCATTGATCAGTCCAATTATTTTACATCTCGTTCCATCAGTAAATTGAAATCTTCCAAAGAATTAGATAAACAAGCCGATAAATTGAACGAATTAATATCAGCATCGAAGTACGATGAACCAAATTTGGACAACTTTTTGGAATATTATAAATTTATTAAAACAAATGAGCAAGTGGGTATTAGAGATAATCTCAGACATGCTTCATATTTGAATAGCTTGAGATGTGACAGAATTCCTCTACTTGGTGAATCTATTATCAAGTTTATTCAAACGGCAACTCAGCCAAAACAACCAATTACAGATGCTTATAATGAAATTGCTCTTTCAATACCCAAAAGAGTGGAAGTTATGGATGAAATAATAGAAAAATATTCAGTACTCACGCCAAGTGTTGTTACATTGGATATGAAGGATCAAATAATTCCTGTGTCAACACAACGTACAATTATGAATGAAGTTGCGAATAGCAATATTGATAATCCATTTCATAAATCCCAAGTAAAACTATCAATTGCATTCCCTGATAAATCATTGTTACAATTCGATTGCGGTAAATTGCAAAAGTTAGCAACATTATTGCAAGACTTGACTGCTAATGGGCATAGAGCTTTGATCTTTACACAGATGACAAAAGTTTTGGATATATTAGAGCAATTCTTAAACATACATGGTTATAGATATATGAGACTTGATGGGGCTACCAAAATTGAAGACCGTCAACTTTTGACTGAAAAATTCAACAGAGACTCGAAAATTCCAGTTTTTATTCTATCTACCAGATCTGGTGGTTTAGGTATCAACTTGACAGGTGCGGATACGGTTATTTTCTACGACTCTGATTGGAACCCTGCCATGGACAAGCAATGTCAAGATCGTTGTCACAGAATCGGTCAGAGTAGAGACGTCCACATTTACAGATTTGTTTCTGAGTACACTATCGAATCCAATATCTTACGTAAAGCAAACCAAAAAAGACAATTGGACAATGTGGTTATCCAAGAAGGTGAATTCACGACTGATTACTTTGGTAAATTCTCGGTTAAAGATTTGGTCAATGATGCGGAAGTAGCAGATATTCCCGACAAGCCACTTGAATCAACCTATGGTAACGTGGAAAACGTATTGGCTCAAGCTGAAGATGAAGATGATAGAGTAGCCGCAAACGCAGCTATGAAGGAAGTGGCTATTGACGATGAAGACTTCGACGAGGAATCAAAGGCTGCCACTAACACGGCAACTCCGTCCCAGACACCTGGCCCAGATGCTACTGGCCCTGGGGGTATTGATTCTACAGTAAAGATTAACAGTAAGACAGATGGCTTAGAAGATGTGGATTACGAAGATGGGGTTAACCATGTCGATGAATACATGTTAAGATTTATCGCTAACGGTTATTATTGGGACTGATAGTGTCATATCGCTGTAAATACAATATTTTTATAGACATTACCAATTGTATAATAGAATATTAATGACTTACTAGTAATTTCAAATCTGTAGGTATATTATATGAAAAGTCGTGTAAGTTACAATCTTCTATCCTCAATCTTTCATTCATATATTCGAATAAGTATGAATTTACTCGTATGCTGAAGCAATTGAATTAATTTAAGTAATAATATGTCATCTGGTATTCAAGCTTTGTTAAAAACTGAAAAGGACGCTGCCGAAATTGTCAATGAGGCTAGAAAGTATAGAACTAATCGTTTGAAGACAGCTAAGGCTGACGCACAAAGTGAAATTGACGAGTACAAGAAACAAAAGGAGACTGAATTAAAAAATTACGAGAAAGAACATGAAGGTTTGAATGAATCTATTGATAAGGATGCTGATGCTCAAGTTGAAAGTGAATTAGCAGCTATAAAGAGCAAATTCGACGAAAAGAAAAACTCTGTTGTGAAATTAATAGTTGATGCTGCTATCAATCCAACTCCTGAAATACACATCAACGCAGCCAAATGAACGCATTGAATCAGGATGTCATAAAATATTTGGTACTTGACTATTTTGTTTGTTTAGTTCACTCAATTGTTTTTGGTTTCCACCTCAAAGCATGGTAGAAATTTACTTTTACTTCTATTTTACGTTTAGTTAATATACACAGATTTTATTAATTTCAAGTATACAGATATTAAGCCAAGTGTTTAAGCGCCACCTTTGGCTAATTTTTTAAATGCTTTAATAATTTCCCATGATCTATTGTCATACCCAGCTGTATTTAATGCACTGACAAATCCCCAAGCTTTCTTATCGCTGTTAATAGGATAGTCGATTTCAGGTGGGATACTCGTAGCGATTCCCAACATTCTCAATATGGGTTTATCCATTACAATGGACTTGGCTACACATAATCCTGTAAGACCTTCTTCGCCTCCAAACTTACCGTAGCCTGATTTCTTAATACCTCCAAATGGTAATTGTGCTACATAATATGTAGCAAAATCATTAATCGCAACATTACCACTCTCCAATTTATTGGCAATTTCATTACATTGTTGAAAGTTTTTGCCAAATATAGAGTTTCCAAGACCAAACTCAGTTGCGTTTGATATGGCAACTGCTTCATCCGCATCAGTAGCCTTAATCATCGTTAGAATTGGGCCAAATACTTCTTCTTGAAATATTTTCATAGACTTGTCAACATCAACCAATAGTGTCGGTTCAAAATAATGGCCTTGAGGATAGTTTGGATGCTGATAAGGTTTTCCTCCATGAATCAAACGAGCCCCCTTGCTGACTGCATCCGAAATTAAATCCTCTAAATGTTGGAATCTATTGTCGGATATCATTGCTCCCAAATCTATTTCATCGAGTTGATCTATATCTGACCCGAGACGTAAATGCTTAATTCTTTCTGATAATATTTCAACTAAAGTCTCATATGATTTCGGTAAACAAATCACTCGTTCAATACCAATACAATTTTGGCCAACACTTTGAAACGTACCTCTCATAATAACAGATGATAAGGCTTTTAAATCGACTACATCATCTAAAACAATCAAGGAATCCTTTCCTCCTAATTCAACAACACAAGGGGTGAGTTCCTTAGCAGCTGACTCTACGACCTTATGAGCAACATTCTTTGATCCGATAAAAGTAATATGAGATAATCCAGGATGAGATGTCAAATAGTCAGCATCTTCAGGATAGCAGCAGCATAACTGTATTAAGTCCTCGCTTATATTTAGCAGCTTCAAGACCGTTTTTACCAAATCCACAAACCAAGTGGATGACCACAATACTTGTTCTGAGCATTTAATAACAATTGCATTACCAGTAAATAAAGAAGCAATCACTGGCCCCATTAAGTTGTGAAACGGATAGTTCCATGAAATTAAAGCAGCAACAACCCCCAATGGTTCATACCTAACTTCACCGTTCTTCATTAACCCAATTAGCAAGTTCGAAGGACCTGGACGCTGGGAGGGTTTCAATGCTTTTTCGCCATTTGCAATAATCCAATTCAATTTTTCTAAGGTAACCATAATTTCTCCCATCAGAGCATCCAATTTAGTCTTTCCACTATCACGACATGCAACTCGAGCAATATCTTCTTGATGGTCAATGATAAATCTACTAAGAGTCCTTAAAAGCTGTCTTCTTAAACTAAATGGTGATTTTGCCCATGTCTTCTGTGCCGCTTTAGCCTTGATAATTTGTTGGTTCATTTCTTCCTTCGTTGTAGCGGTAAATGTACCTAAATATTGACTAGTGGCTGGGCAGTAACTTTGGATTTTGTTTGGTTCGTTTGGTATTCTTACTGAAAGATTTGGTGGATATAATCTCTTACCTTTCCAATGGGCTTTTGCTTCATCTGGTATTGGGATTTCTATTTTTAATGGTTCCTCAAGCTTATTGTATTTATTGGGTCTAGTAGATATATATTTCGCATATATGTAATATAGTGTTGGTAAAATTACAAATATAAAGAATGTTGTAGATATCTGATATTGCCATTGCCATTCTTCGAATTTAAGGTCAATAGCTATCATTATCGGCTATAACTTTTGAAACTCTAATAGTTACTATTCTTCAGTCCGAATTTTCATCGAAACTTTCTTCAATTGTTCGATTGTTGGAACTTCGCGGCTCCAAAAATATTCGAGCAATCTTGCAGGCCAATTTTAGTTTATTCCACTATATAGTTATGACGCTATAAACTAAAACGTAAAAAAGAAACTAGTCTTGGTCGACATCTTCAGGTTGAACTTGTTGAGTTTCTTGTAATTGTAATTGTCTCAAAACCTCGGCGAAATCATCTTCTTCGGTTTGATTTTGTATGATTGAACCAATAACATTCTGGTCCACGTAGGTCAATAACGAATCAACAACCTGGTCTTGCTTAGTATTGACGCCAGTAAACTCATTATATTTAACTGTATTATTTTGGGGCGGTAATATATCATATTCATAAACATCTTCTCTTGCCCAAACAGATTCAGGAACTTTAGCCATAATTTTATTCTCGCCGGATAATATTGCAAATCTAATCAAATTAAATGGTATCTCTTTATTTGGGGTATCCGGTTTTTGAAAACTTGAAAAAAGGCCATATATCGAGGAAGCTAAGGATCCCTTTGACGAGTTTAATTTCTCTTCTTTAAACAATCTGATCAATTCGTCGTGTAAAAATTCCCTCTTAGATTGATCATTCCACATTATTCCAGCTCTAACCAAATAAGTCTCAGCAGCCAATAGTATTTCATCATTAATTGGAATCTCGTGTTCCTTGATTGGTATGTCGTGAGATAAACCGATTAGTTCTAGCAATTTATAGGCGACATATGGATATCTTTGGTATGCAACTTTCAACTGAGATTTAGCATTTTCAAAATCATCCAAATTCAAATATGCTAACACCGTAGAAAATGCTAACCCAGGAGTCAACCATTTTTCGTATGTAGTAGCAAGAGGAGATTTGGAGAATTTTATCAAATATTCATATTCCTCACTCATAATTGAATAATGATCCAAGAAATACCGAACTCCTAACGGATCTTCTGCTGGAGATAATGACAACAAAAGCTTACAATATGAAAGAGCGGTCATAAAAGTTGATCGTTCTCCCAAATTCATAATGTATCTAAACAAACATAGATAAAATTGTCTGTTCAAAAATGATTCATATGGCAAACGTACCAATCCAGTTTTACTTTCACTTAACAATTCATGAAAGTTCTTATGGAAGGTTCTATCAAAAACGAAGAGACACTTTTCAATCAAAGCATTGCTTGTTGATTTGTCACTTCCTTGCCTCAACAAAACCATCGCAACCTGTAGTAATGTCTCTGCATGATAAGGATACTGTTGTAATAAATGCATTAATGATTCGGGGTCCGGTGTCATCACCACCGATGCATAGAATCTTGAATTGGCTACCCTTTCTTGTGTGGTGTTTATTTTGTTGAATCTGAAATATTTTACACCTAAAGATAATTCCTTCTTTAATTTAAATTCCAAGTCTTCAAAATCAGCAGTATCTTCTTTATAATCTAAATAATTAATAATTTCATTAAACTTTAATTCCTCCATACTCATAGGCTTCTGTGTCGTAGGCAACCAGTCGTCTCTAATTCTTGTCAATAATAATTTCCTGGTTGTACCTGGAACTCCTCTACGATCCTTTCCACACCATCCTCTAGTGAGCTTTGCTAGCTTTTTAAATTGTTGTAATACTTCTGGAGAAATTGCTAGGGAAGTCGTTGTGTTAGCATCATCGATAGTTTCCATCGACAAATTACCAAATAAACCCCTAAACTCGTGGTCAGGATCTAAATTTCTAATGGATCCTATAGAAAGTAACGGTAATGATTGCTTTAATCTATTCGTGGTGAACTGCTTAAAATTTGAATCATAATTTGGTGCCGGTTCCAAGATTTCATCATATTCAGCTTCAAAATCATACTCATCTTCATCGACATCTTTGCTAATAGTAGAAGGGCCCTTAGACTTTCTAGCCTTTTCTTCGTCCTTCTTTTTTGCTTCTATCAATATTTGATCCAATTCCTCATCACTATCTAAAGGCTTTTTAGCAGGCTTCTTGTTCTTTTTCTTCTTTTTACTGGATTTCGATTTCTTAGGTGGCAAAGAAGACTTAGGTTCTTCTTTTCTTTCTTCTTTATCATCTTTTTCTATAGCCTCTTCCTCTTCCTCTTCCTCTTGTTCACTCTCATCGTTGTCATTCAATAACGCAAATGCATTGAAAGCCGTTTTTGGTCTGGACTCATATTCACTTTCCTCACTCTCTGAAACTTCTTGGGAATCACTGGCGAGATTCGATAAGCTTTCGTTTCTTTGCTTTTCTAATCTTTTCAATGCCCTCGAACTCATAATTGGTATATCTTTTTCAAAGCCTTATAATATTTTGGATTACTTTGTATCCAGATAGGTTTTTCATAAGTACTGCATTTAATTTTTAGAAGCAATAGCTTATTTTTGTGGATGCAAATTATTTCAAGCACATACAAATCTTGTTACTATAGATAATACGATATTAATCAAGAAAAAGCATAGGTAAATGTACAGCATGTATTCTAGCAGAAGCAACTCTTCTGTTGAAACACTAAACCCATTCATTAAAGCTCCAACAAAGTTCGATATAATACGGAATAGTTCTCATCCGCATCTTCCTAGAACTAGATCAGAACCAATTTCTAATATTGAGAAGCTAAGTATGATTGACATTGTCAAAGATGCAAAGACAGAACTGTTAGGATCATCCAGTATATCAAAGTTTTCACTGGACGGTGATTGTGAGTTTTCGCAAGTTCCAAAATTTCATGAAAAAAGTACAAATATAGATAATATTCAGGTTAAAAAAAGAGTTCGAAATAAAGTTTTAAATCTTCATAATACTACAACATTAACCAATTCTAAATCACCTTTTACATTTCCGAAAGATGCTTTTTGGATAATGGAAGACAAAAATCGAAGAGTTGAATTAAACGAAGTAAACAAATTTTGGGTTGCAGACTCGCATACAGACGAGAGAAATTCTTTAACAAGACTTCTGGAAGACTCCGATTACAGCAGGAATGAACAGGTTTTATCGCCCCAAGAGAGTACATACGCACTAACCACTTCAGATTATATTTCACCTATACCTGTATTGGCATTTTCTCCTCAAGACAAGCCAAATAATACCCAGAAATATAAGTTGCAAAAAGTATTAGAAGAGTTGCTTGAGAGTGAGGAGAATTACGTTGTTTCTTTAACTTTGCTACTCAATTACTATTTAGAACCCTTAGTTAGCGACAACAGCTATAGATGTGGGTTACCATTAATTATTATTAAGAATCTTTTATCTATATTAATAGAAAGTCACACGAATATGTTACAACAATTGAGATCATTATATCCTCGAAGTCATGACAGTGAAAACTCAATAGTCTATATTGCTACAGAAGTTGCAAAGAATATATTTGACATTGGAATTAATGTTCCCATATATGAAGAATATTGCAATGTTTATGAAAGTGTGTTGAAAATAATGAAGGATTCTAAGTATATGAATTCTAAATACAAGAAAGAGTCCAACCAAGCATGGGTTAAAGGCTGGAAAAACTACTTAGAAGCAACACAACCCATCTCTAAAAGGATGGATTTGTCTTTCATGTCATTAGTGCAAAAACCCATTTCTAGAGTCGCCAAGTATAGACTAATTATTGAATCATTATTGAAATACAGCGGAACAAACAGTTCCATTTATATGTACTGCAACTTAGTTAAATCCAAGCTAAGTGACTTGAATGATAATTCAAGAGGATTTATAATGAATGACAACAGCAATAGAATTAATAATTTATTGAACTTTGATGGTACTTCCTTTGGGATTGGGTTATCACTGGAGTTCTTTGGCAGATGCTTGTTGATCGGATCATTAACAGTAGTTTGGGTCGAAAATGATAATGAAAAGTCAGGCACAATGGGAGTATTCTTATATAAAAGTCATCTCATCATGAGCGATATTTCCATTAGGAAGAATGTGAAAAATGTTATTAAATTCATCATACCTTTGTCTGTTTGCAACCTTTTCAGCGACCCCAAAGAGTGTGATGGAGGTCTTTACTCAAAATACCCACATACTATGAAGGTATTATTTGAGCATCAGTTTTGCCAGTACGAAATTTTGATAATTTCCATTAATAAGACAGAACAAGAGATATGGCGCGATAATCTCGATACATTAATCAATCATGTCAATGGGCCTTTTAAATTGGGTTATACTTCCACAGATGGCGCCAAATTAATAATATTGTATCCAGAATGCATAATTCCATACGATGTTTCACTCTTAAAAGTATCAACCTATCGGAAGTTCAAAGATTATTGTTACTTTAAAACTCCTATATCTTTAAACGTCATGATTGAATTCCCTATCTCCCAAGAAACTAAGCAAAACAAATATGTTCTAATCGAAGAAGGAAATCAGCCTATGTTTTATCCTCAAGCATATTCGCATACAATTTTGATAGTAATCACTAAAATAGAACGAGCTACCGCAGAGTTGAACTTAGCATCTATGTGGAGTAAAGAATTACCTTTAATATTTCCCAAAATTCAAGGAAATAAGAATAAGCCAACGATAAAAAAAAGCTCCAGTTGGTCCCTGTTAAAAATGGGCATGGGGTCCTTTCGCGGACTAAGGACTTCTCATAGCTTCAGTGAGGGTATCAATTCATTAAGATTACAGACTCAAGATAATATAGAACAAAGCCATGAAGAATTTTCAAAGCTTGTACAAGACTCAAGAAAATTGAAAGCTGCAGTGACAATCGAGACAGACAAAACCACTTGTGATACCCCCGACTCGGAAATTAAGCGAATTAATTCAAAATCATATAAGTTTAAGAATGCAGTTCTAGGATTGTTTCAAATCTCCAGGTCTAGCTCGATAAAGATGACTACAGATTGATTAATAATAACTCTCTTTTATTGGTAAACCAGATTGTATATACTCGTTAAACATTAATGCTATATTTTGCCATTAGAATTAGTTGATTTAGTGATTGACAAATCCAGCACCAATTGAGTCATTTGTGGATGCGCCTCCTCTACCTAAATGAGTTCCGCTCTTATCAGATCCCTCTTTCAAGATTTTCTTGATGATTTCATCAATATCAGATTTGCCGAATTGCAGATTCAATTCTTGCTTGGATGCTTCATCTAATACACCTTCGTTACCACCTTGCCTATTGATGAAAACCTTGTAAATTCCCACAATATCAATCAATGGGATTGTGGTATCACCCTTCTTATACTTTTCAACTAAGCTAGTGTCTTCAATGAAGATAACGAAATCAGCTTCATCACCTTTGTAAAAGATTCTATGTGGTCCGGATCCTGCCATTTTGTTCTTAATCTATTTTTCTAAACTAATTGTTCTTAATAATTGATTTTACAATTTAATAGTAAATACGTAGCTATTTATACCATTGAACAATTGACCATAGCAAAATTAAATCGACGGGTAAATCACCACTATGTATTAATTACTTGCTATTGCTGCAAAGCGTGATTGTATGTTCTGTGTCGTGATTACGTAACCAACTCATCCAAGAATACGGAGCAGAATTGCCATATCGTTATTAAGGTGGCACAACCAAAGGCATTTTATTGCCATTGACGGATGTTGGTTCAATTGGTTATTCTAACTAGAGAGAATCGACGAAGAGCTACAGTCCAATAATATGAATTGTCAACGGTTCGGGAGTTACTGATCTGATGGAGAATCGTAACCTCTTGCGTATACTCCATTGGGCATTGAAGTGCTGACCGCACTAAATATGGCTTCAGCATAAACTCAATTGGAATGTGACGAGAGTGTACGTGATGCAGCAACCCAAGCATGATGACACTTATTATATCATCGCGCGAGCATACATGTACTATGATTGGTGATTTTTATTCATAGGATAAGTTGCATTAATA